ACCAACACGCATGCATATTTTTTTACGAATGATTGACAGCATTTGAAAGACGTTACGCAGAACGGAAATTACTTACATTTTTCAATGCAGGTAAAAAAAAATGACAAGAAGATTAAACAAATAGGGGGAAACATTGGGGCAGGAGTTTTTTTTTCTTTTTTAACGGGCAAATCTGGTGACTAGTAATAACTACATGAAAAATAAAGGCAGAACGACAGTTTTCCATTATGTGAAAAATCAAAGTGAAATTCACAACAGTTTTTTTTTCTAACATCAAAGAGGAGTTTTCAGCGGTCATTTCATATTTCACAAATCTCGATAGTTTATTCCCTCAATAAATCGAGAGAAAAAAAAACAATGAATGAGATTATTGACTTTAAACATGAAACCGGTCGGTTTGAAATTCAAACGAAATAACTTGCATGTTGTTGTTTAGGTTTTGGTTCATCTTTTGTTTTGTTATATTTATGTTTATTGTTTATTGTTTATGTTTGTCTTGTATTAGTTACCGTTTTGCTTGGGGGCACAGCAAGTTATCAAACTCGTCATCACATATTGAAAATATTTACATATTAATGGGCATGCTATTGATACGGAAACCCAATGTAATTCGATATTTTAAACATCAGATGAATAGAATTCAATTGGAATGAAATCCGTTCGATTCTTGATGCTAAAAAGAGACTTTATTTATTAATAGAATTACAGTATTAGAATTTCCTCCAGAATTAGATTAAAAGCAAAAATTGAGTCCAAACATGTATTGAAATTACTTGGAAATATTTTCGATTATCTCCGATTTGACTTCAAGAGTTATTTTTTCTCTTTGGAAGACCAAAGTTTGGGTAGAATCAACTTGCTATTTGGCAATTGGGCAAAATTCTATATTCTAAATTCTATACCATATTATGTATGAATCATACGTAATCAAAGGCACTTTTAAAACATTAAACATTATTTGTAATCACGTTGGCTTCAGGATTTTAGAAAGATTGTCTGAATTCACGAAGCAATCGTTAGTCTTAGGGAATATAGAAAATTTCTCTTAATTCACGTAACCCGGACGCCGTTAATTTGGACATGTTTCTAATTTCACGCAATGATGATGACCTTTTTAAATTCTCGCGCGTGCGCTCAATTTTAAAAAGATCATCGTTATTGGTGAGTGCAAAACTACGTAGAAATAAAATGATTAACGGTCACGTTGACTGATTCACTCAGCTGCAAACAGCCAAGACTGGCTAAGTTGATTGAATTCAAGAATTTGTATAGAACTAATCACGCTTCGCTAATCTTTCAGCCAGATGACTAGTCCGAAACGGCTGGCTACTCAGTCAAAAAAAGTTCCACACGTTTCACGGAAAACTCAATCGTCTGGTGAAATCTTGTGAAATCTTGTGAAATCTCTACCCATAGTATGCTTAGATTTCCGATTATCTGCTCAAGAATCAGACATCTCTTGCTTCATCGAATTTAACTTTTTTTTTTAGAATTTATTCATTTAAATTAAAGAGTTTATTAGTGAAAAGTTATTGGTTAAAAAAAAAACAAAGATGAGAATATCACGGCGAAAGACGTCATTGTCGGCATTTCATTCTATAGTCGAAAAAAGGGAAGGGGTAAATACCCGTTCAAATGAAAAAAATGTGGTCCCCGTCAAAGCAATTTGATTTCGAATTAAGAGCAATAAATAAAGTTCGTTCCCACCAATAGCAAAAAAAACACAGCTTGATTCGTGAAATGATTAAGTCACTCGTGAGCAGAGCTGTTATAGGCACTGCAAAAGTGCGGGCACTTGAATCGGTGCGGCACCGAGCTCTTTTTGAAAGTATAATTCAGCCAACCAAACGAGATAGATGGTCAGCTATGAAGTAAAACAAACAAACACATTTTGTGACGTGCGATCCATCCAAATTCATGATAGAATCCATCATTTTTCTGACTTTGTGACGTGGTATCCAAAAAAATTCATGGATTCTATCATGAATTTGGATGGATCGCTCGTCACAAAAACGGAATGTCAGCGGAGCGTTCTATATGCGTTCACCGCACGCAAATTATCTAGATAACGAGCGTCAGCCGTAGCTGACCATCTATCGCGTTTGGTTGGCTGGTATAATTCTTGAGTATTGGATTTTTCTTAATATATCCTATGATTCGGCGCTAATAATATATTAATAACTATAATAATAACATATTATTAAGATACAATCTTAATAACGCTTTTTTCGCGCATTTTTTTCGCCGGAGCACTTACAAGTTGTTTTTTCACTACGGAGTACACACATGAATTTTTGCACTGTTGCAATGAAATTAAAATCGGAATCACAATGTGTATGGAATGCATAAAATAAAGCGCCATCTGTGCCATGATTCTTTTGTTCGTATAAGTCCAATGTATTCAATTTGAACGCTCGGAAAACGTTCAAACGTTCAACATCATCATTCAATATAGTATTGCATAGTTCATTTTCCATAGACTTGGTGGCGCTTTTATTGGGACAAACGTCAAAGCATAGGATTGTATACATTACATATTGTGATTCCATTAAAATGACTCTTTGAAACGGAATTATCATGTATTGAACTTAACCATTAAGTTTAGAAAATCGCCAGTCCCGACTTTGAAAGGATCCATTTACCATATTTGTCTGCATTGTTATAGGTGTGTACACCGTACAGTGCTTTTTTTCTCTCCAGCTAATTTTTTTCTCTCCATCGAAAATGTAAATCTGTAAAACAGATTCTATTTTCAACATTCATCATTTCATTCAGCAAGAATATTTCAAAGCTCTCGGGCAAATTCAAATTTGCCGGAAAAAAGCTAATTCAATCGGTTTTGCATAAGCTCCTAGAGGAAAAAAGCGCGCAAAATTCCCCGAAAGTAAACGTTGGATGGCGCCAGTTGTTGTGTCTTCAATTGAGTTGTTCAATTCATTTGAATTGGAGCAGAGTAGTTGTGTGTGACTAAGTATTTCATATTTTATGGATTGATAATAGGTTATTTATTGGTGTGTTTTTCTCGGCTGTATTTGTAAATAAAGGCTGTAAAGTTTGGAATTTTTCTATGAGCCGAGAAGCACACAGAACGAACGAAAAAAATCATCGGAAAAAAAAAACGTCAACGAAGCGAGCAAAAGCATTCGTCACACACAAACCAACACTGCAACACCATATGTATGTGGCAGTGTTGACGTCTGTGTTATTTATTTTGGAGGCCAAGGTCAAAAAAATATTACCCGCATATAGAAAATATGTATATTGACAATAAACGGCACATTCTCTCATTGATGTACGATGTGACTCAGTGTGTGCTTATGTTTGTTGCGAGTGTGTTTGCGTATTTGTGTGTGGGTGTCTCTTGTGTTTTAGAGAATACAATCAGGCATTTGGTCTTCAAATGCACACCCGAAGCATGTGTGTATGGACCACAACCACGACCATGATCCAAAACAGCCCAACCATATGTACTAGTCGGTAAATCATCGGAAAATATTTTCTTTCACCAATGAGTGGAATCACCAAATTGACTTATTTGCATTGCAATTTGTGTTGTTGCTGCTTTTTTTTGCATTTTAACCCGCACTCGCGCTCACGCGCTCAAACCAATAGTTCCCAATCATCTTTTTTTCATTGAATTTTTCAACTCAGTTCTGGTTGGTACGTGTATGTACACTGTACAGGTTTAATTACATTCGGTATACAGAGAAATGGGCGGCCGATTTTTATTACCTCATTTGAGTGAGTGAGAGAGAGAGGAAGAGAGAGAAAAAGAGCTGTGTTTCGAAACTTTTCGGAAATTTCCAAAGCTTCAATTGTTGAATCTCATACGCGCCACATATTGGTTCTGGTGGTCACGGACTCGGCTCTCGACGTCACACCATTTCTCATCACAAAATTTTTGTCAATAATAAAAATTATATATTTTTTTCGGTTGGTTGGTTGGTTCGAACTGAAAATAGATTTATCGGCTTTTTGAATCGTCATGAATTGTTATTATTGATACGTTCAAATGCGATTCAGTTGTTGCTATTTCCTTCTTTCGTTCAATTTGAACGAGTCAAAGAATGAGCAGCAGTAACTAACCAGATTCTGATTCGGTAATAACAAAAACATCTTTGCACGGTGGGTAAACAGTAAGTTAGAAGAATGTAATATTTGGTCAATTGAATATTGTGTGCGCTCTGCGCTCACACTCACTCGTTAGCACTCGCGCTCGTGTGCAACTCACTGTTTTGTGATGATATTAAATTGTTAAAATCGCATTCAAAATGCATTTATTTACATAATTCATAATCTAGGGGGAGCCCTTTTCATTCGGTCTCTGTCTCTCTCCCTCCCTCCCTCTCTCTTTTTCTCTCGTTCTATCTACGTGTGCACGTTCTTGTGCGCGGTATTATTATTAGAATGACGATTCCTTCCCCCCTCTCTCTCTTTCTCTCTTTCGACTCGAACAATGTGTGCGTAGTACAGTTTCGTATTATTTCTTCTCTTCTGTTTTCTTTTTTTTTAATTTTAAATAGCGCAAGCGTGATTCTAGTGATAATAGTGTTATATAAAGTAAAGCCTTCCATTATTGGAACAAAATATCAAAATGCTACGACGATATTTTAGCCCATTCGTTGTCGTTTTCGATCGGTATATTTTATGGATAGATGTGCATTTGGATGTATATAGTGGCGCGCGCGAATTGAAAGAGCAGCAGCGAGCGGCGGTGAGCAGTTTCGTTGCAGGCGCATTATCCACAGTAAAAGCGCACGCGAGATATAATATAAATGTGAGGGAAAAAGAGCAAGAGAGACAGAGAGACAGAGAGAGAGAGAGAGAGAGAGAGAGAGAGATAGAGAGAGAGAGAGACAGAGAGAGAGAGAGAGACAGAGAGAGTTGAAGCGCATTTGATTTCCCATATTATGGGGACAGGTTGACGTCGTTCGAATGTTCGTACTATACTACAGTGTACAGCCAAACGAAATACACAAACCGTCTAAATGCCATTATAATATCTATGTCTATGAATGCACATTGTGTGTGATATGTACATATGGAGCACACACAACACATTCTTTCTTTTTTTCTTTCATTCTCTATATGTTTGAGATACACATCGACATACACAGAGCACAATAGCTGCAATATAGCAGCAGCAGCAGCAGCAACAGCAACCAAAAGACCCTGAAACAACACAAAACCATATATTCCTGCGAACCGTTGGAAAATTCACTGTCGTATTTGTACATTTTTCATATCAATGCAAAATTTTCCTTCGAACCGACCAGTCAGTTCTTCCAAAACAACAAGAGCGATCTCGATGTTGTGCACGCGAGCACGACAGAAGAAAGAAGACGAACGAACGAGCGCCTGACACTGAAAATCCAACCAAAACCAGAAAAAAAACAACCAACCAACCGAACATAACTGAAAATAGTGCAATCCGTATAAATAATATTTTATTCGAAGCAGGCCACTAGCGACGAGAGAAAGAGAGAATAAAAAAATGAACGATTTCTGTATATAATTATTATGTGTTCAAGTTTCTGATATATTTGAAGCGCAATTCAAGCCGAAACCGTGTAAAAACTATATTGCTGCCGCAAATTGACCCGATGTTGACTATTAATCACAAAACACAGTTAATAAACATTAACAGTCTCTCTCTCACTTTCGGTTCAGTGTGAAAATAATTTTTTACTTTTTTTTTATTTGAGTTTATCATATTTTCTTTTCTGTTTCTCATACGACCGCAAAAAAAAATAATTTCAAATTTTATCAGAAAATACGTCGTTGTTGTCAAATCAACTGTACATAGGATCGGGTGAGTTGAACCAAAAAAAAATATCCAGTAGACATTTAAACGAGACAGTACAATTATCCGTAAGCAAATTTTCATATTTTTTATAAAAAAAAAAAAATAATCGAAAATCCATTTAAATCAATTCATAATTAAATGTACCTCAAATTTCATAGCATTATTTTGTTATGAGTCGTTGTCTTTTCGGCATTATGCTAATTTCAGTAAAATATCAGTCAATACTTCATCACATTGTGCAATTTGCGTTCTCATACTAAACTAAATACAATTATATCTAATATACAACGAATGTACATATAGCATATACCAGAGAGAGAAATGACGCACTCACGATCAATTCGTGGAAATAAAAGGACGGAATGTTTCGGAAGAATAATAAATATTGTTTTTGGTTGTTGTTGTTGTTTCTGTCGTTTGTTTTACTTCATCACTTTAAATTGAATTTCAAGTTGTTGGTTGGTTTTATTTCTTCTCTCTGGAAATGTTCAATCGGGTTTTTTTTGTCTCTTCTGAAAATGGTGCAAGATAGAGACGTAGTGGTAAATAAATAGTAGTAATTGTACAATTGAATCAAAACAGGCAAAATAATTGAATTTGAGAGAAGAGACGAAAGCGAAAAAACGAGGCAAAATAATGATTTCAGTTTGACGTGTATGAATGTGTGTGTGTGTGTGTGTGTGTGTGTGTCGATTATAGTGAGTCACACGAGCGAAATTCACTCGACTCGAAAACACAAAAATCGACAAACATGTTTTCGGTCATGAGCAGAAAACGATGATGATGATGATTGAGTCAGAGTCAGAGAGGAAGAGGGTTATTTCACCATATGATGCATTTTTTTCGGGTAAATATTATCGTTTGGAATTTCACTTGAATTCCGGTGTGTCGAATCGAAGTCGCAGTTTTTCGCTGTTTGTTGGCTTAATTGAAATCGCATTCGCACTCGCATATGAAGGGAGAAAGAGAGAGAGAGAGGGGTTGTGTGTTGGCGAATGAAAGATGATATTGTCTTGTTTAGTATTGATGGAAAAAAAAATGCCATCACACACACACACACACGAACATACTCACATATCGTAACTCGTCATGGGCTCAATTTGTTAACTGCGTAACAATAATTTGTACACCTCATATTTATCATTGTGGTTTTTGTTATTGCTTGTGTAATGTATATATGTTTTTTGTTTCTTCATTTTTATTTTGTTTGCAAACTTTGCATTGAAAATTGAGCGACATCTAGAATTTTGAGATAAGCAAGAAAGAGAGAGAGAGAGAGAGAGAGCGAGAAAGCGCGAATATGAGTGCCAATGCGACAGAGATTGCATTCAAATGATAATTAATAATGGAAGTATTGTTTTCATTGATGACTCGTTCGGTTGTGTCAGATGATTCGTTACGGCTTAGATAAAAATGCAAATGGAAAGAAAATTAAAAAAAATGGTATGCCCTTCCTCTGTCCAACCGAGCCGAATGAATCAATAAAGGTGTAAGCGATTCAAATACGTAGCAATTTTCAAGAAAAAAACACATTACATGCACAAAGAGGGAAAGAGAAAGAATCGGAACAAGAAAGAGAGGGAGACAGAGAGTGAAAAGGAAAAAAAACCACGAAAATATTATAAGATTTGTGATACATCTATACAACATCGACATGTTGCAAAAAATCCTCTGATGCGATGGCAATACATACAAGCCTGCACGGCTCACACACAGTGAGGAGCGCGCGCGACATGGTCACAAAAATCGTTTCGCTTCGTTCGGCATTGCTATTGTTGTTGTTATTGTCGACGACAACAACGACAACGACGACGACGACGATGATGATGATGATGGTGGTGTATGCGTGTGTGTCTGTGTGCTATGTGGCTCGTCCGTGTGCATGTGTTTTTCTAGCAAACAACAGGAACTGATTCAAGTTCACTGTCAAGGTCGCTATCAGAGCGCACACGCAGACCCTGCATTGCAGAACACATGAATATATGAAAACGAACACAAATTATATATTTTTCTCGATTGTGTTCAACACATTCGTGCGCTCGCTCGCTCTCACTCTAACGCGCGCGCTTCAACATACACTTTGCATATATTTATATATACCCACCTATATATGACGTATATGTATACAATGTGCTTGAATAGTGTCCAAAACACTACGCAATCATCATCTATACACACAGAAGAAGAAGAGAAAAAATAATGGGCAGAAATATTGTGCAGCCAAGAAATCATTTGGAACATAACATTTCTCGGCGCGAAAACGACAAGTTCGGTGGTTCAACAACGAGACGACGACGACGGAGAAACAAAACACGTAGCGGCCGAGCAACGTATAGAGGCGCATTTATTTTGTGGAGTCTCAAGTTCAATAAATGAAACGTAATAAGCGTTTTACCTCACAAAACCCGAGACCGATATTCAAACACAGCACAAGAATTAACAGAATAAAAACCAAAAAAAAAGAGAAAAGATTAATAATAAGAACACCCAAGCAGCGAAAGAGTGTATAGCAATTCGGTTGATTTTTTTTCGGTTTCATTTGTTTTGTTCAGTTTTAGTCGAAAGCATAAAATTCGATTAAGAAAAGTTTCAAATCGAAATTCGTCTTGCGTGTACAGTCACATAATAATTTATTTATACAGTAATACTGTTGTTGTTATTTTCGTTGCTGCTGCTGCCGTTGCTGCTGTTATTGTTGTTGTTGTTGTTGGTTTTTCATTCGGAGATTCGAGAAAGACAGAGATAGAATGGAAAAAAAAGAAAGAGTGAACGCGAAAAAAACACAACATCAGAGAGAAGAAAAAAAAACTGGCCAGTGTGTCTCTTTCTCCTGTATCGACGACGATTTTTTTTTGTTTGTTTGTGATGTTACACAAATATATACAGAATATATTCCAAACGCACACCACAGCGACGACGACGTTTCAACGTTGTTGTTGTTTCCTTTGTAGATATTTTTACCATATATTCCGAAAAAGTTAGCGGCGTAATATCTAGTTCGCGCATATGCTTACTGAAACATTGGTGCAAAACAACTCGATAAATACGGACTACATTTTCAATTTGGTTCGATTTTTTCTTTCCGTTCGAAAAGAGTGTTATCGTCAAAATGACCGAAAATATTTCAAATAAAATCATTAAATGTTTAAATTCGTTTCCAATTCATGACGCATTTCATTGAAATCGATACAGAGAGAAGAAATATGTGTAAAAAAGCGAGCAATTTGTTTGTTGGTTTTATTTTGTTCAATTGAAAAACAGAAAATGCTTTTCACATCGTTCAAGTTCATTGAAATTGGCTGACACTGTGAATAATTTCGCTCGCATTTGTGTGTGCTTCGTTTTTCCCGATGGTCGCGCGTTTTCCGTGAGCCGCAATGACGGAATTGAAGCAATAGAGACCAGAATGAACGAAATAAAAACGCAGCAACAACAAAACGAACGACGTTCAAGTGGAAGAAACCATTGTTTGTGACGATGCCAAGCAGATGTTAATCTACGCTTAATTTGATCCTCTTCAAAATTCGCTGAAATTTTCTTATTTTGCTAAATAAATCGAATGATTTTCTCGTTGATTGTTGCACGGATGATTTTTTCGGGCACGCGAAAAGCGATTTTTTTTCTATTCAAAATTCTATATCAAATGAAAATTTTCGTTTTTCTTCATTTTTTAAATGGAAAAAAAAATTCGTTTTGATTTTGATGTGATGCATTTTTCGGCAAAATATGTGAACTAGAATGGATGGGTATAGAAAGAAAAATATTTTCATATTGCACCATTTTCAAAAGGGATCAAGAGAAAAAGAGACAGAATTGCGGTGAGGAAATTCGAAATTCAATGGACCCCGTGATGTAAATTCAATCGGACCGTTTTTTTCTGTTGTTATTGTGTTCATTGTTTTTTTTTTGCTGTTGTTGCGGTTTAAAAATATTCCATCAATCAATCATTTCAAGTGTATTTATATTTATGACTCAAATGAATCGGTAAAATACTTGCTCACAGTTATTTTGCATATAACAAGTGTGTCCATCTATACTTAGCTTTACATGAAAGCACCGCGAGCGCGCATCGCTAACGTCGTGTATTCGTTCGGATAAGTTTTTCAAAGTGCTTTTTTTGCATTGAACGATAATTTTTTTTCTGCTGTTGTTTTGATACATCGTCGGAAATAAACATGCCACCGCAAGAGAAGGAAGGAACCATCACAGAATGGGATGGAACGAGGTTGTGAAGGAAACAAAAAAATAACAGAGTTTAACAGTTGTGTAATCCGTTTGTACGTAATCAACACAATCAGAAAAGGACTGGCAGATCCGGAAAAATGAGACGCAGAGAGAAAGAAAATACATGGTGTTTGAATCACTGGGGTACTCCCTGTGGTCGCTGTTTCCCCTGCCAATTAGCACAAGTGAACACAGCTGGTGGTATCTCAGTGGATTGAACACACCATTCGACTTGTGTTTGTGTGAATTTTTCGAATCATCTCTCATTTCTGACCAATATTTTATGATCAAATGTAAGTATTTTGAAAATGGATCCCACCACAAATATCTGCACACCCGATGAATACGGACACAAAAGATTCCACTTCAGTTTCTTTCATATTCTTTGGGTATGTATTAAATCTATTTAGTATCTACTTAATTTACGTTATGTAAATAGAATTTTTTTTTTTTTTTGAAAAAAAAAAGTTAGTTTTAAAATCAAAGAAAATGGCACAATATCGACAGTTGACGAAAGACTACAAACCTAATGTCTTACAATTCAAATATGGAGCAAAAAACAAATGAGGAAACAACCCTTAAACTAAGCTTTTTGTTTGGAAAACCCAACATTTTCGAGAAAAAAAAAATCTGAAATTTTCGAAGAGTTAATTTCGAAACGAACAAAATCAATTTGATTTGAAAGAAAATACTTACGAATTACATGAAAAACTAACCATTTTAAAATGGATACTATGAAACCACTCATTGTAAATAGTCAAAATTGAATTTTAAATTAATAGAATTTATTTTTTTCAAACCTATTTCATCATTGCAAAACCATAATAATAATAAATTAATAATCGATGTTTTCAGTAATTAATCTTGTGAGAATATTCTCGGGCTGAATTCATTGTAATGCGCCAAGCGCATACATCATTTCAATTTCGGCCCCGAATACGATTTTCAAGGGTCAAAAGTTAAAGGTCAAAGTTAGTTACTCATTTATTTATTTTGTTCTTGCTCATGCCCATGTGTAACGATGATTGTGTGTTCAATGTTACGAATCAGGCTTTGCAGTGAAAATGCGATTCGGGTGGAAATTGCTCAAACCCAAATCTCATACGCTTCCACCATATAGGAATAGCAATTACATGACCCACTTACATATTTCTGTATTTCAATTTCTATTCATCTCTCTCGCAACCGAAAACGCCGAAAATGAAACCAAATTGAAGCGAGCAAAAAAATACACATTATTCAGAGATTGACAAAACAGAAGGAAAAAAAACGGGCAGTTCTTCGTTTTAAAATGTTACAAGTCAAATTCCTTCTTCCCAATTTTCTAAAAATAACAACAACCGTATTTTTCAAATACACCGAAATTTTCGCTGAAGTGCGCTCAATGTTCTCAATTGCACACGAATATTTAGTGTGAACGCGAAAAAGCAACGGCAATATGAGGAAAAAAACCACACACACATACATTGGAGTGTATATAGTTCGTTTGACGAAGTTTGATCTAATATCATAATATGCAATTAAAATTGATTTCTCGTTATTTTTGCGCGCGCTTTATTGAAGTGACCGAATGGATTCGTTGTTTTTTTTTCTCTCTCTCGCAGTGTAAAATGATCACATTTATCTTGTACGCCTAAACATCAACCAGTGAGCCGCTCGTTTTTTTATTGCATTTCATTTACGTGTGTGTGTGTGTGTGTGTGTGCTGTTGAACATATGATTCGAGAGTGATGTACAGATTGTACACTAGGGTGTTTCTGCCATCAAATAATCAAGAAATGGTAGTTCTGGATTGAAAGAGTGAACAATTCTGAGTCGATTGCATGTATTTTTACTTTAAAATATTCAAAGATGCCACTTCCCGAGATCAAAACAGAAAATCATAGAATTTTGAGGTTATATTTTTGTTCACTGAAATAAAGCAATATTTTCGACTCATCCACTTTCAATCTCACTGCCATTGGTAAATTCACGATGCAGAATTTCATTTTCATGCATATTTCGTCGAAAAAATCAAGGAAATCGGTGAAATATTACACATTTTCCATCGCATCTTTGACGGCATTTTCGATTGAAGAAATAACACTAATAGAAACTATTTTTTCACCGGAATTCAATCAATGCAGTTAAAACACACGATAAATTATCTGAATTTATCAAAACATTCGATCGAACAAGCGCAGAAAGACCAATTTGGAACAAACGAAAGATGTAAACAAAAGCGAATTGTCATCACGAAATCTGGGCTCATTAGACATTATAAAGGATTGCCAATACACTTGCCCGAATAAATAACAACTAATTCGCACATAGTGATTCGCGCAGTTGTGTTACAGTCTTGTCAAACATCAAAACAAGCCCGAATTTTACGATGACAGCTCGTTTCTGTTTACATTTTTCGTTCGCTCTAAATTGGTCTTTCTGCATTTGTTCGATCGGATGTTTTGATGAATTTAGATAATTTATCGTGTGTTCTAACCGCATTGATTGAATCCTTGTGAAAAAAATAGTTTTATTAGTGTTATTTCTTTCATTGAAAATGCCGTCGAAGATGCGATGGAAAATGTGTAATATTTCACCGATTTCCTTGATTTTTTCGACGAAATATGCATGAAAATGAAATTCTGCATCGTGAATTTACCAATGGCAGTGAGATTGAAAGTGGAAGAGTCGAAAATATTGCTTTATTCCAGTGAACCAAAATATAACCTCAAAATTCTATGATTTTCTGTTTTGATCCCGGGAAGTGGCATCTTTGATTATTTTAAAGTAAAAATACATGCAATCGACTCAAAATGGTTCACTCTTTCAATCCAGAACTACCATTTCTTGATTATTTGATGGCAAAAACACCCTATTGTACACTCATAAGACACCTTGAGACACACAACAAACATCAACATCCCCACAAACAGAATGCACGCACCTCACATCCGTCCGTCCGTTCGTACGTGTGATGCACATTTGGTTAATTAATGCGATTTGATGAACTGAATTAAATCACAGGAATTCAAAACAACACCAACAGCAAATGAACGGGTGCAACCATTAATCCTGTTTGTAATAGCACACCATTTGTTAAAAAATAGTCGATTTTTCACGTGGGCACACAACGTGTGTATCTATCGTTTATCCTTGGGCGCAATAAGATGTGTCGCAATTGTCCTGTATTTCGACGACGTGGCACATGACAATCTCAATCTCTCTCTCTCTTTCTTTCTCTCGTGGTCCCACTTTCAAGAGATTTGGCATGAGCCAATAGCCCACATTGAATTCTTTTCATTTGCTCATCATCATACAGAGAGATAACTAAAGATTTCTTTTCGGTGGCTTTTTTTCAACGTTGTTGACGTTGTTGTCGTTCTCTCACTTCAGTCCAACCGTTGAAACAAAACAACTGCGCACATTTTTTTTTCTGAACCAAACACTTTGTTCGGCTGATTTCAATTGACTTGATTGTGAGAGTAAGCGGTTATGGTGAATATTACGAAAGGAATTTGTTCAACAGCAACCGGGGAAGAAAAAAAAACATATAGTCAACTTCGGTTGTGGGTGCATTCAGTAATCGGAAATATCAAGCAATTTCGTTTTCAACGAAGTGTGTGCAATCAAGCGTTTGAAATATTGCATTAATAATTTGTTCAATCGATTTCGAACGCATTTCTTGCCTCTCTATTTTGCATTGGGAAAAAAAACGCAAAAAAGTTGTAATAGAAAACAGTAGAACTTTTCCCAACGAAATGTTCATACAGAAAAAAGTGAACTTTTCACGGTTTGGTGGAAAAGAAGTGTTTTGAAAGTGAAGAAGCTTACTACCTTCGAGACTAATTCAGAGGTTCTTATGAAAGGTTGAAACGGCTTGAATGGCAACCCTAGAAAATGTAAGAGCAAGAGCATGAGAGACAGAGGGGGAGAGTGAGTGAGAAAGGTAGACAAATGTGGAGAGAGAAGGGGCTACATCTCAGATCTCTATTGTTGTATGAATGACGATTGTTTTTTTTGGCTTGTGTGTGTATAGTGATAATCATACGAATGAATATGAATCGTGGCAAATCAAAGGTTCAGCAGCGCGCTAGCTGTGTGTGTTTTTTTTTTCTTGCACACACTAATCGTGGTCGAAGTAACGACGTTGCATTTCAAGTCATTTTCCCACTGACCAATACACTTTGCAGTGTGTGCCACATGCTTAAACGAAAAAGAAAATGCAGCAACAATATAAGGCAACGCACAATGTTTCACATGCACAATATCGAAACTATATTCCTTCGTGATGATTAAAATATACATTTGTGTATCTTATTTTATAATTGAAATAGAAGAGCGAGAGAGCGATAGAGAAAAAGCAAGAGAATTGGTGATTTTGTTTTTGTATTTGATTTGCGTTGCAACGGTTGATGTGCAAGTGTGGGCTTGAAATGTGTATATGGGTGCTGCTGCTGTTGTTGCTGCTGCACTTGTGTGTTTGAGATGAGTGACGAGCAACTAGCGTTTGAAGCGTGTGAGCGAACAGGGCGAGCGTGTGCGGCAGCAGCAGCAGTGAGATATAGCATTTGGAATACACTGCACATTTGTGTAAAAGTCCGCCAATCTATCCTCTCTCTCGCTCACTGATTTACAGCACATATAGATAGATAGAGCTTGCAACTAATAGTAATTAGTTTGTAGTTTAGTAGGTTTGTGTGGTGTAGTACATTTGGCTCACTCGAAAAAATTTATTTATAAATTTTACTTGTCTCTTTTTTTTTTCATTAAGTTGTTGTTGTTAGTTTTGTTTTTTTTTCTTTTTTTTTCTAAATTTCGATTCGGCGATTTGGTTGTGTGTATGTTTCGACAACTTGTATGTGTGTGTGTGTGTATCCAAATGGGTTCTGGTGTGTTGTCTCTCTAATATTTTTCGATTTAATCTCAGTGCGCGTAGTGCAAGCACTCGAATCTATTCCATCGCAATGGCCATCGAATCGTGTCGTTTCATTCGTACACCGTTTTTTTTCTTCGTTCGCGATCCCCCTCTTTTTTCGCGCACGAAAACCTCAAGTGCCGTTTGCCGTTGGCTGCTGCCTGACTTCGGCCTGACTCGACTGTGTGAGAAATGCAATCCGAGAAATTATTATTGCCTTAATGTTTTGTTCAAAACCACCGACAAGTTCGGTAAGATAGTTTATAGCCGACGACGACGCGCGAGAAAACAATAAAACGCTAAAATAATATCTTCGATGAAATCAATAGCATCTTAATATTATTAAAAAAGAAGAAGTAGTAGTAGTTGAATTTGAGAAGAAAAAAAACGGTACAAGTGCTTAATTTGAGTGTGACACTTAATCGTAGACACAACATCGTTGCATCGCTGTGCTAGCCCTGTGAGAGAGACGACTTTTTTTTTGCTTCATCTTTTCGATGAACTGAATTTTTATTTATTCGTTCAAGTGTACAACATTTTTTTTTTCTTTTTGGTTTTTTGGTTCGTTCGTTTCGCAAAATCGTTCCCATGCAGATTTTCAACCGTGAATTTGGTTTGCGTGTATCGAATTGATTAAATTAAATTAATAATTGCTTTATTTGCCCACATTTCGACTAAAAATATTTTTGGACGTAAAAAGAAGAGGAATCGAGGGGAGAGAGAGAGAGAGAGAGAGAACGCGCGAAATGGAGAGCGAAAATAAACCAAAGGAATTGTGAAATTTTAACACTCCGTCACTTGACACGAAATTTGAACTGGCGAGTGGAAAAGTGTGTTTGTTTGTTTTTTCCTAGGTATATCCAAGAGTCGCGAATCATCGAGCAAATCCAAGAAGAAAACGACTCACCAATCGTAAATTCGTTGAGCCGTTTTGTGTTAAGTGAATTTTTTTTTCTGTTGAAAAGAATCTTATTTATATAATAAATCCATTGAGAGATTATCGCGGCTTCCATTGGCTTAGACCCATGAAAATAAAAATGCTTTCGAGAAATTCTATGAAGTCATTGAAAATGCCATTGATTTCGAGATAATTTTCAGAGAAATTACGATTTCTCTAGTAAAGATTAAATAAAAAAATTATCAATGAATTGAGCTAATTTTGGTATGCAAATATCCTCGCAAGCTAAACGGACATTGAGAGCAGAAAAATAAAACCGAAAACAAAGATTATCTCTCGTACGCATTATACTCTCTCGTACTCATTTCATTGACCAACTGATTCGATTAATGAGAATGGAGGTAAAACCAATGAAAAGCCGGCATTGATAGACTTGTCTTTCACTCAATGGCCAGTCAGCGATTTCAGTTGTACTGAGCCTCAAAGTACATTTCAATTAACAAACTGTCAAACTCATTTTGCGAAATGATCGCGTTGTCGATTCATGTCAAAATGTATGTGTGTGTGTGTGCGGCTTATGTAATTGCAAGAGGCACCAACAGCCTTTTTAAAAAAAAATGTCTCGAAATACTGCCGCGCACATCCGTCTGAAAATGCGTATTTGACAGCCATCACTCACCGAAAAAAAAAACCAAATGAGAAGAGAGAAAGAAAGAGAAGAGAGGAAAAAATTCTTATGATTACAACTATTGTTATGCAGTGTGACATTTGACCTAAATTTGCGCTTGAAAACAATATTCGTTTCACTTTCAAATCGCATGCAAAATCGTCGAAAAATATAAACGCAGTGAACCAACAAACAAACAAACGAAAGAACGAACGAATGAGAAAAAGGCAGAGAGATCCACTTTGCATACATAAATAGCGAACATTATAAATTCTGCATGATAGATCTAATGAAGAATTTGCGGTTGATTGCTGCGCGCACTCCACGCTCAGCGCTCGCGCGCACCCTACAAACGCAACGAGAAGAAAAAAATGTTTTTTTTTCTTCTTTCAAGTCTATGCATTATATGCATAATAAGCGAGACTTTCAAGAATCGATCGGAAGGAAAAGTGAAACACTAGTTCTTGCCATGCAAGCAACGACAATAACGACGACGGTATACAGCCACGCTTTGACCAAAACTAGATCATAATTTTTCAAAACACTCATTTCAGATCGAAATCAAGCCACAACTCAATTTTTCTCTATATCAGAGAGACGGCCGCTTTAATCGCCTTTGAACATATTTGTACAACATTTTGTTGTTGTCATGTGCACAAGATCGCATTCAAGGTGATTGGAGACGTTTGCAAATCATAAAAGTATATTGACGGTATGTCGTCGGAATTAGGGTTGAGCTAAATCGGTGAGGAAAGTGTTTGAGAGTTGGGTGTCACTTTGGCAGGTATCTGGGACTGTATTCATGATAATCGAATGCAAAATTGAGTGAGAAAAGAATAAGAAAAAAACCTTGATATAAATTCCTACACATTCGATGGGTATATATACATCTGAGTGTGTGTGTGTGTGTTGGTTTTGTTGTTGCTAAATTGCATTGCATCATATAAAAATTGGTTGCCACTGCCGAAATAAGAAGCGGATTCTCATTGGGCTGCAAACTCGATTTCTCGGTAATCCAATCGGTAATTTCAAAAAGCTATTTCGATCGACTAATAGTTCTTCGTAACACACCGAAAATCGTCTCGAAGTTCATACCGCTCGCTCACTCTAACCTACGTCGATCAACAAAAAGAGAGCTAAAAAAAGCTCGAAGGCGTGGTGTATATGATCTGTAGGCATGCAATTGGCATAATTTTGCAAATATCTATGTGATCATAGTGAATTTTTTTTTCTGAAGGTAAACATAACTAACTATGCAAACCCATCTATCCACTCAAAAACCTCACTTAAAATGATACTTTGAATTGTATTCGTTGTAGATATTTGTTGGTTATTGTTGTTGGTACTGTTGCCGCTGTGCATACACCTCAACACCATCCAACTGTCATCGCAACCTAAAACGCAATGCTTTCTTATGCAAGACATTTTTTCTTCTTTGACTTTTATACATAGTACACATTGCACATTGCACATTTTGCATTAAATATTTTCAAATCGAATTCCGTTGTTTAGCTATTCAGCTGACTCGAAATAAGAATCACAAACATAATTGACGATGAGTTGTAATTTTTGCAAAACACCAATCGATTTGATTTCATTTTGCTGAAGTGAAATTCTAATGAAAGAAAAATTGGCTCTTTTGCTTCGAAACTAATATAAAACTGCATTGAATGGATGAGAAAAAAAATTAGAGAGGAAATGGATTGGTTAAAATATTCAAAACTTTATTGCGGTAAAAAGTGTTTCGTTGCAGCAAAGAAACTCTCCCTTGTGGAAGGGAAAGAGAGAAAAGCGCAAAAAAGGACTTTAAACGTCCTTGTGAGTAAAAAAAAAAGAGAGCAAAGGGCCGGTTGGCACGTGGACTTTCTACGTCGCCTAACAGCACCAGTTGTGCGGTTGAGCCAAAAAGAATTTCGGATTATGGTGCAAGATACCACGTCGATTGCGCGTGCGTGCATGCGCGTGCAAGCAACCACACTGTGTCGGCTCTCAAGGGGTTCCGTGCTGATGATTTCGTGTGATTCGTATCGAAGAGAAAACGTTTTCATTTGATGCGAGAGATGATGTTTTTCTCCAAAGATGCATTAATCAAACAGTGTTTGATCGTGCTCGCACCCGCTCAATTGCCTTTGCTCGCGTTATTCTATTCATTTCGTGGTTGTTGTTGTTTTATTTTCGTTAATATTTTTCTGTTAGTTTCATTCAAATCAACACACAATTTCAATAATGAACATTAATAGATTTTTTTTTTCGCCTTTGAAAATGGCGCGTTGCATGCGCGCACATACTGCGCAAACAGCGCATGTATAACATTAAAACCATAATTAAATAGGGCGTAAAGTAGTAGTAACATGAATCTAAAAAGAGAGATTCGACCAAAGAATGCATTCAACTTACACGCGCATGCATTCTACGCGAATTAGGTAATGAAAAGCAAAAAAAAAACTCATACACACATCGCCAACAAACACACTACACTCAAGCTCAATAAAATAAAAAAAAAATAATGAAAGAAGAAGAAGAAAAAAACTTTGAATTCTCATTCGACTTTTGTCGAAACGAAAGCCAATGAAAGCAATAAAAAACAATTTCATGAAAGGTCTAAACTTTATCGAGCCTCTCAATTGTAACAGTCACTTTTTATAAACCGTTTTTCTAGCAACAACAACAATACAAATTACAAACTCACAAAAACCACCACTAAAACAAATCAAAAAGCAAGAAGAAATAATAAGACCATATTTTTCTATTTTAAAATTAATTGACCAGAAATTCGTTCGCCAGAATGTTCAACAGTGAGACTTTTTGATCTCCAGATCTTTATATATAAATATAAAATTGATGAATTCACTGAGAAAGCGACACGTACTGAGACACAGAGAGACACATACACAAAGAGAAAAAACCGAAAGACAGAGAGATGCTACAACACATCCATCGACCGAATAAGAAAATTGAAAATATTGTGCCATTTTCCATTGATTAGTTTTGGGGTACGTATCAGAAGTGCGTTTGCATAAGAATCGATATTTGTAAATGCACTATCTGGTACGACACTCCAGAGCAAACATTCTACCTTTTTTTTACGTAATTTTAGTTATACTTTTTTTCTGTAATCTTATGATTTAGTCTTAAGTTCATTCGCATATTAGCTTCATTTTAGTTTGTTTGGTTGAAAAACATATGATGATTTATTTTCATTTTATTTTTCGTATATAAATTTTGAACGAAAAAAAAATAATCGAAAACTACAATTAATTTATTCAAAATTATTGATGTTTCATTAGCATAAATTATTCATGTAGTTTAGAATTAAGGCTATTCGACTGTGTTTGACTGCCCCAAGCAAAATCTTCCTTTTTTTCTGAATTAAATTATTTTGGTTTAAATGAAACCGTTTAGCAAAGTAGAATTGGCACTTCTAAATTCTGGCCGATTAAAGCCGTCAGCATTTGATAATTTTATTCATTTCAGCTTGGGATTGTCACAATATGACGGGTTGCAATTTAAAAAGCAACGATTCATCATTTTTTCAAACCCGTGTGCAAATAAAATGACTAACAGTCACTCAGTTGTATGTAGATGTATGTAGTGATACACAACTAAAACTGGCTAAGTTGATTGAAATCATGCGTTTTGTATGGAGACAATCACGTTTAGTTATTCTTTCAGTCAGTCGACTAATTTGGGACATTTTGACTAAGAGTGATTTGTGATTAAAGTTAACAGTAGTTGCTTATTTTGTTCGAGACAATCACTTCGAGTCAGTCAGATAGTCAATGAATGTCCCAAATTAATCGACTAACTTAGACAGTCAAAAAATTTGCACACGGGTATTCGTCAATTCTAACACTATTCAATTTGTAACCGAGTGCTATAAATTGAATGATTGAAACCAAATTTCAGAAGGTGATGAAACATACATTTTCTTTTCTACAACATTTATAACGAATGAATATGGCAAAACTGTTCTACAAAACACAAGAAGAAATTGAGTTACTTTTCAAAGAAATCTACATTTGTTTATTTCTAATTACTGTTTAGAAAAATTATAAGATTTTTTGAGAAAAAAAAGCTTGTGTTTCAAAATATTTTTAAAACATTTGTGCCATTAATTTTTTCTTCAAAATTATATTTGTCTACGGCAAAATATGTGCCAAAATTTGGTTGTTGCATAAAAATGTTAGTTTCATTTCCATTTACATCGGATATATGAATCGCTGGCCTGTCATAAAATACAAAGTCCAATGGCATATGGTTGAAATAAGTATTTTTTTTATAAGTTAAGTGTAAGAATAATTAGGAATTCGAAAATGACCGAGACAGAAAGAGAAAGCCCGAAGTGCGACGATCAAAAAATCTATGAAAGAGAGAGAAAGAACAAGTCCAAATTCAAAATCATGCATCATTCATTTTATAAAAAGTTTGTAGTTTTCGAAATGTTCGAGCTTTTTTTCCGTCGATATGTAGAGTATATGATTTGAGTTTATTTTATGATCGAATGTGAGAAAGAAATAAAGAGTTTTTTCTACCAAAAAAAAAGAACCGAGCGAAAAAATGTTTTTTTTTTATTTGCATCTGATTTCTTTTAGCTTGTTTTCGGCAAGGCAAGTATGATTACAGTGAAATTTGGACGTTTTTTCCTTTGAAGCAGTGAAATTCCCAGGTAATTTGCACATGAATGCTCTGAATTGTGTGCCAAAACTGAAACAAGTAACATTTTAAAGTGTAGAAATTGAAAAGTGGTTGGTCATATCTCAAGTTGAAAAAAAAGCTAAACGCGTTGGCAGTGTGGTTAGCTGGTTGTGTGATATAAGGTAACAGCCACTACCCGCCCTGCCCCTGCGAAATGCTTTCAGTCACAAGCTTCAGCAGACGTAATACCATCGTCAAAGAAGAAAAAAGTTTAAATTTTTGTTAACTATTGTACTTTCTGCACATTTCCTATCTTTTTAAAACTTGAATAGGATTTTCCATTTTGTAGAGCAGGTAGAAGATAAACTATTTCAGCAGATAGCTTTGGTAAAGTTTCCAAAAAAAACACACAAACAGATCTGTTAGAAGAAAAGTTTGGACGCTAGCGACATCTGCACACAACTCGGATGGACTTCACATCAACTATCGATTGAGGAGAGAGCCGAATAAGACAGAATAATTCACCTTGAATAACGCTTTTTGCTGATGAAATCAATTTTTCATAGAAATGTGGTGAAAATGAATTTGAAAACTGACATTGTTAAATGAATAAAAATAGAATAAAAATTGAATTTAACAAAAAAAAATCGCATTGAATTTTATTCAATTGAGTGATATTTCGGTTGCCTTAACTACAAAGAATATTTAATTAAATACAATACAATTTGGATTAACAACAGAGAAATCACTAGTCATCAATGTATTCTTCTACTCTGGGCTCAATGGATTCGATCCAAATGCGCAGCTGCTTGAGGTCGAAATCACCATCCGTATAAACGATGCCCACATCGTCGGCCGCTAAATTATCGATATGCAAATACCCTTTTTTCGAATTGACTGTCGCATGAATCTCATTGTTGTTGGTCTTAAAAAATTTATTATTGTAGAAGAATATGCCGTTGGTGGCATTCTTAATTGCAGCACCGGAATAAAATCCAAAATCACCCTCTTCATTCAGTTTCTTACACAGATGATTGGCAACAATAAGGCACTGAAAAAATGAGCGGAAATTGAGATTTGTTTCAAAGAAGAGAGTAAGTATTCATTCATTAAATTGATGATTATCAAATTTCGTTGCGAAATTTTACTCTTTTTTTTTACTAGCAAAGCATGGTCTATAGAACCGAGTACAATTTTATATTGAATAAGAATGATTATACTGTCAAATATCATCTCATTCACACTTGCACCAACGTGCGTGTATCAGTATGATGAAGACAATAAAAGACAGTTGGGGCAATTGTGTGAGTGATTCTTTAACTTACATCCAGTTGCCCTTTATTTTGGTCGTTATACTTATGGTAAGATAATTTGATGATACGCAGGTTTTCTTTCCGAAGTTTTAAATTTGGAAACGTGCTAATTAGTTTAGTGGCTAACAATGTCGGACAGTCAAGTAGCTCAATGTGCAATTTATTAAATTCCTATAGAAAAAATAGAGAAAAACGAACACATCAAGCATTAGTACCAATTCTAATCTGTATATAACAGATCGAACTGAATCAGTCAATTAATTTCAATCGACTTTTGATCCAAGGACAAATTTGATCGAAAACAAATTCAACTTATCAATTGAATCGATAACGTAAAGAAACCAATATTTAAAAATCACTTTTACTCTGTGGGACCGTGGCCCCAAACTACGGATGCTACTCACTGTATTCTTGAAATCAATCAGCTGAGACACCTTGACATTATCACCTAAATTAATGGGTCCCATACCTCCGATGCAAACGTATTTACTTTTTGGATTTCCTAAATCCCAGACACGCGACGCCCCTGTTTGGATTGCATGCAACTCCTCCGATACTTCAGGGGCTGTAAAAAATATTTAACACATCAAATCACAATCAAAGTTTTCCAAAATAGATATAGAATTGATCATACTTTTGCCCATTTTAAACATATTTCCCATCATGGAGACAATTGCTGATGGATCGTAGCTAATTCGACGACATTCGATAGTAATTGGCGTGCATATCCTATGTGATATTAATCTTCGTAGCATTTTCGTACAGTGTCTAAAATGGAAAATGTTATGAAATTCAATACAAAGTTTAATGTTTTTCCTATATTTACTTGTCGTCGAACGTAAAAACGATGATGAAATTTTTGGGTTAAGTGACAGTCACAAATGAAAAACAGTACGTCAAACGTGAATGACAGCACGAGCTCAAGTATTCACTTCAAAGGGTATCTACTTTAAGCTCAAGTATATGCCATTCATGAATATTATTTTGCAGTTATCGATCACTTTATTCGAATGATTTTTTTGATGATGAATGACTTTTAATGCAGGCACTTGAAAATCAAATCCAAATTCAAAGCATTTAAACGGTGTACTTTTGCAGATGTTATGCTTCGTGTGCGAAATTCATTGCGCTTAAGTACGATAGATACAGAAGTATACTCCAAACTAAAAGTAAAATGTGTCAAATATACTAAACTTTTCCCGATATATTGAAACCACAAATGAAAAATTTGGGAATACAGATCTATTTCTATCTCGATTTACCTCATTTTATTCTTGATAGAAAATGCACTTGAACGTTATGCTTAGAAAAACCTTTGTCATATTGGACGATGAATCGGGAACTTGCATCGTAAAATGACTGATTTTCCCAATGGAAAGCAATTAAATTCGTGTTTTTTAAGATCAATTCAGTAGTCACTGAAAAGAATCATCATCATCAATCTTGGATTCATTGACTTCATAACGAGAATCGTCGGTCCGATTGACGGCAAGAGATGCAAAGCTATAAAATCAATGTTTTAAATGGCAGTAAAGTTTGTTTTTTCTTTTATTGAGACTTGTAATAGTTAAAGTGCGTGTGGCTTTTTTTTATTTGTTTTCTTTTTGTTTCATCCAAATTTATTATGTGTGAATTTAAATAAAAAAATAATTTATTTAAAAAACGACAATTTTTTTTGTTGCAACACAAAGGATTAAAAACATCTCCACCAAAGATATGATTATATAAATTAATTAGTGTACAATACGTAAATGAAGCCGATGTGTGTGTACATGAAATAAAATTTTCAGCAGATACATTTTTTTTTCTTTCTATCATTCTTTTCACTTTTGTTTCTCTCATCCTCATTTGTTTTTAGTTTGCCTATTCTAAAATGAATGTGTGTTCACTCTTTTTTTTCTATCTCACTGCGTCTCAAAAAAAAATAACGCTTCTATCCCTGTCATTTATGGCCCGGCATTTACCGGACTCTTTTCGGTGTCTCCTTCTCCGTTTCGCTGCTCTCGATCTCTTTATCTCTATGTATGTACGAGACCGCGAATATCATTTTTAACCGATGATGTTGTTAGGACTTCGTCACATATATCGGAGCCGTCGAGTATCTCATCGTTAACATCGAGAAAATTATCTAAAAAGTTGCTCGAGCTTGTCATTTGCTCAAGCGATTTCACTTGTTCGTCAACTTCCTCTAGAGCACGAGCTAGCTCATCTTGCTCTTTTTGTGTCGGCTCATAGTGGTCATGTTGTTGCACTTTATATGTGGAAGGGAAAAAAAGAAAAGAAAAACGAACGTTGTAAACTAATTTGATAACAAGAAAATTAACGGGAAAACTAAAGTAATATGATGAATGTGAAATTTGGTGTTGTTTTGGGTTGGTGGTTACCTTGGAACAAGTCATTAAAAGCATCCACTGGTAATTGGTTGAGGACATTCGTTAAGTCATGTTCTTCGAGGAGCCGAGCATCACCCAATGGTATTTCTAATGGACACGCCATGGCCAATTCCGAAAATGAGGATAAAATTTGTTTTCGCATAAAAAGTGAATTTCGTTTTCATTGTTTGTTTTGTTTTGTTTTGTTTTGGCAATTTCATTGCATGGTGTGTAGCAAAAACACAAAATAGTACACACACAGCAATGTAAAACATACCGATGCCATCTTGTGCGGTGATCAATTCCGATTCACTTAGCTCACCGACGCCCGTATCCTCGGAACTTTCATACGCCGAACTATTCTCACCCACCGTGATAATGTTTTGGATTTTAATCTTTTGCGCATTCGGCATTGAATTACTGAGTTGATACACCATCACATTGTCCGGTAGATATTTGTTCATCGATGTCATAAGTGCCGGCGATTTTGCACTAATTATTTGCGGTGTTTCACCACCACTGTGATGCTTCCGAAATAGATCTTGATTCCATACAACATTTATCATTGGCTGGATACTCTGTTTGGTGGTGGCGGCAGAGACGGTGGTGGGATTGATGCAGGCATTGTTGGCGACAACATTGGCATTCAGTTGACCGATGGCCTGCTTTAATTGCTGCTTTGGAATCATTTGCGTTGGTTCGGTCAACACCAATTGTGTATTGCGTCGCTTTTTTTTTTTATTTCGTTTCGGCTGGCGAACCGGTTCTATCGATTTGGTCTTGGTTTTGATGCTTTTCTTCGGTTTTTGTTCTTGTAAAATTCGATTGTAGTTATCCTGTTTTGGACAGAGAACGAGAATCAATTAATGAACGATACGAAAAAGTTCCGATGAAAAGAAACGAAATATGAATAAAAACCCAAACAAAAAGAAACGCCAACAAGGAAACATTATATAAATAATCGGCTTTACGTTGAGAATGGCTTATTTTTTTTTCTTTTTGGAATAAAACTTCTCTCTCTCTCTCTCTCTCTCTCTCTCTCTCTCTTTTGTCAAGAGCTTCTTTTTCTACGAATTTATTTCCATCTTCGCTTCTTGATTTAATTGAAGAAAAATAAAAACAACTGTAACTTACGCGCTTCCATGCATGTTCACGGCAGAGCGGCAGCTCGTGGCTTATATCGAAAACAGGTACACGGCATTGTGAATTATCCGAGAATTTTGCAGTACAAGGATGAAAAAGTTTTTGATCCTTATTAAGCGTAATGTGTAAATAACAATATGCAGTCATCGCTAGTGCCGCATTTGAGCACGCTTGAACACTACATTTTGTTGGTGAAGCTCTGGAAAAAAAATCAAACAAACCAAATGAAATAATTATCTATTCAGAGAGGTGTGCATATTGAGAGCAACCCACAACATGAACATGATGTGAAAACAGAAATGCTCAAGAATAAAATTGCAAATAATTCGTTAAACCTACTTATTCCGTTCATTTTTAAATTTGGCTAATGCTTTTGTTACTGTAATTAGTCGTCGTTTCGCTAACATTGTACTCCGAAAATGTTGCGCCTGTGCATATTGAAATGCTTGCCGACGAAGGTTATCGCGCTTATTTTCCATTCGTTGTTCGCGCGTTAACAGATTCTCATTGGGTATATCACGAAACCAAAATGTTTGCATGCATGTGGTGTATTCCGTGCTATCGGCGATCGTGTCGGAGCTGATATCGTCATAAATGTACGATTCAGGTGAATGCCATTCCTTGTCCATTCGTTTGCCAGAAAATCTCTCTGCATTATTCGGCTGCTGCTGCTGCTGTGGCTGCATTGAGCTTGCCGAACCGAATGTTCCATTTTCGCTGCATTTCACTGGGAATCTCGATGATGATAGTGAATCATGCTGGGCCGCAGCAGCACTCTTTCGTCCCGTCGACCCAACACTCTTGCCACCATTTGCACATTTCTGCTTTTTCTCCCGTATACTTTTGGCTTCCGATTTGTTTTGCTTCAGTTGTCGTCGCTCCGACAACAATTGCTTCCTTCCTTTGCTACTCTCATTTAGTTTAGTTGATGATAATGATGAATTTCCTACAGTTGAATGATTGGTAATACTTTTGTGTAAAGATTCGTGTGTATTATTATCGGTTGCAGTAGCTGGCCCATCATTTCCATTCACTGGCGACGATGTGATTAGTTGCTTTGGTTCCGTTTTCAATCGCTCATTAAAACTCAATGTCGTCTCAGACGTCACTTTTGCATCGCTGGAATGATTCAATTTCGGTTTTGACACATTTTCAACACGGATTTGTCGTTGGCTCTGTTGATGTTGCTCTGAATTTATCGTCACTGACATTGCCGCCGTTGGAATTGATCGCGTACCGTTGGCGGGTAATTCCGGGTACAGAGTAGGTTTCACCGACAGTAGCCAATCTATGGATTTGCTTTGCACTGTTTCCACCACCGTCGATGTATTTGTTGCCAAAACCGTTGTGTTTTGTCCACCCAACGAAGGATTCCATTTAATTCGTTCACAATCCAATGAATTCGATTTGATTGTTTCTGTTGCTGTTTTTGTTATTGTTGTCGTTGGATGGCCGCCGACAGCCGTACTTGCGGTCTGTCTCACGTAAATCAATTCTTTTGGGTTTCGTTTGCCCGCCGCTGATTCATTCGTCACTAGTCGGCTCAACTCTTGTTGAGACTGTATTGATGCGTACGTTCTTTCATTTGATACGTGTTCCGTTGATTTCATCGGTATTAATTTCTGCGCCTGGAAAATACACAAAAACCAAACAGAGAGAGAGAGAGAGAGAGAGAGAGAGAGAGAGAGAAGGAAAAAAAGTTATTTCATTTTTGTTGCTCGTATTGTTTTTAGTAAGTATTCAACGATGCTTAAAACAGGGTGTAACAATGTGTTTCTATTGTTCGATTTGTAAGACGTTCATTTCATTGCATGGGAAAAAAACATATGTTACGTTGTAATGCATAAGTTGAGATGATGTGACTCTGTGAAGCATTTTCAAGCGGTTTTTGTTTCGTTTTTCTGCTTGTTTTGTATTTCAGTGCAAGTGTATTGATTGTATGAAGGAGGAAAATAAAGAGAGAGAAAGAAAATATACGTGTATTTGTACCGGCAAAGCAGCAGGAGGGTATGTTAATGTGATCGGTGAATTCGTAAGCTTGTATGGATCCACGGTTATAAATGTAGCCGCTGACATAGTCTAGCTTTAATTTGAATTTCCTTTATTGAATACTTTTTTTTTTTTTTCGTTTTTGCTTTCGAAATAGTTTCAAAACGAAACAATATTTGGCGTCGGTTTTGTTTCAATTTCTATGCGGTCTTGGTCTTGGTAATTCAGTTTAATATGGAACCGATCGGTCGTCACTTCGCCGTGCCACTGAAAAGAGAATTGAAATGATGTTGTTACACACAGACACAAACCGCATATAAACTGAATGAGTATTAGCTAGTTTTTGGTGCTATTTGGAGCCACCCGATGGTGTTTGCTTTTAGCGCGCGTTGCTCAATAAAACAAAAATCATTCCGGCCATAAAACGGAGAATGTGAATATTTCGTTTGATGTGTTTGAAATACGGCAAAGCGTGCGGCTTGGTGCAGGAATTATGGGGGAAAATATAAATGACAGCTGAAGCTATTCAAAGTATCAGACTCTACTCATTTGCTTAATAAACCTTTAAAGCTAACGAAATCATAGTGCTTTTATTCGTCTCTATTATATTTGTTTGTTGCGTATTTATTCGATTCGGTTTGATGTTGATATTGTTGTTGTTGTCGTTGTTGTCATTATTTGTTGCGGTGACTTCATTTAAGACACTATGCCACCCGTTTAAATGGCCAAACAATGCTACAATAACTAAATGTTATGATTACCGGTGAAAAGTCTCATCGAAAAAAAATATAGCGAAAACATTGTCGAGTAGTGGCTGCCGTTCTTTTTTATTCACTGATTTGGATAGACGAGCACATTATATATGCGAACACGAAACGAACCGGAGATTAAATATATTGCCTAATGTACTGTACATGCACTTTTTCATATTATTCGTTCGCAATGCAAAAAAGCAGCACCAACAGCGGCAACAAAGTAACAAACAACAACAACAGCAGCAGCAGCAGCAACAACACAGAAGAAAAAAAAAGTCTGTGTATTTCCATTTGTCTAATCGCGAGAGTAGTACCGTTACATATTTATGTACAATTGAGAACGCGTACAGGCGTATGTTTGCACCAGCAACAGACCTTCGGTAAATGACTCTATGCATATATATATATAATACGAATAAACCTAACATATATATATATATATATATCGAAAATTTTGCACTCACATCAGCGCACTTCACACAAGAGCCTTAAAATAGGGAAGGAACGAAGAGAAGAGAAAAAAAAGAAGAATCTGGTTTGCAATATTGATCAGCAAAATCTGTTCCCACCTTATTGTTCACTACTCTATTTCGTATGTTCGAATTAAAGCAAAATTTTAAATTCAAATTATACACAATTTTGGAAATTTGATAGAATTATTTTCGATTTGCACTACTTAAATTTAATGAAAAAAATTATTTTTTTTATTATCGTAACATTATGAATTGACAGGTACGCCAGCAATATGGCGAAGGAAAAAGTTGCTTTTTTTACTCACTCGCGTATGTGTCACTGTGTTGGTGTTCGATAATTTCAACTTTGAATTCGCCTTCACTAGCCACACACAGTCAATACAAGCTGCTGCTACTACTGCTTTGCTATGGGCTAAACGTAGCTCACGAACGCACACACACATACACATGCACACCCGTACACATATGACATATGTACGATAGAATGCCATGAAAAGAGATGCACTACATTCGAACTATCGAAAGATAGAGAAACGTCACATAGCCTCAAACCAAACCAAATAACACACAACCAACTTCATGATATACATGAGCAACAACGAACCTACTCCGATGATTCGGCGGTTGTTATTTTTGGACGCATATTTGAATGTGGAATATCGTTTTCGATTTTTTTAATAAATGAATTTCATTTAATTTCGTTTTTATTGCACTTCATTTTTCAAATAATACAGCTCTTTATAACTATCTTAATGACAAACCAGAATTTTACCTTATTTCAATCAATCAGTATGTTGACAGTATGTTCATTTTCAATCTATTTGAAAATAAGGATAAAAATATTGAGATTTACTTACTTTTATCCGGAAATATTCAATACCCAATTCATAATAAATAATTTGAGTAAAATTTGTTTTGATGTTTTGTTCTTTGGAAAAGAAAGGCTGCAAATCAATTCATAGTTATTTCATTTATTCCATAGAATTCAGACTATTGGGCGCAATTCAGCCTCAATAAGACAATTGAATAAATATACTAAACGTTAGCTCTTTTCTCAATTCTTCTGTTCGTGTGTTTGTCTAACTTACTGAACAGATAATTTTTTTTTATAACTATACAATTTCAGCACAACGTATTTTTTTTTCTTTTTCTAACGCCTTCTCTTTAATGTTTTCTATCTCTTCAATTAAGAGGATAAAAATACATTACATAATAGACAAAATCGAAGAGAAATCTGAAAAATTCAAAAAATTCAAGTTAGCCGTTCCGTTTAACGTAGTTTTTTTTTTAAATAATGGCTGGATGTTTTCACATACATCATCCATACAGGAAATAAAAACTAGAAAGAATTACGTGTTATAACATAAACAGAAAAAAAAATCTAAAAAAATGTCTATATCAAAATAAAATACACAACATAACAAGGATGGATCGGTTTCGTTCAAAACTAATTGTGATACACGGCTGATCAATGATTCAAAGAAAAAAAAACGATGAATTGTGGTGCCAGCAGCAGTAGTAGCATCGAAAATACTTAGCTAATAAGCGAATGGACGCGCGCGAGAGTGAACCAACACAGTTTTATCCATAAAATTACTAAATCACTAAACGTTACATCATATACATAGAAACTGATTTGTGTTTTCTTTGCGTCCGAATTTATCTTTGGCGGAACAGGAAACGTTCCATTATTGGCTCTCAACTCTCTTTCTCTTTCTCACACTATTTCAAAATCTTTGTGACATTTCAAACAACAACAAAAAAAAACATGTATTCTATCAACAGTTTGTTTTGGTCATAGCGCGAGTTTGGTTGTTGCACCAAAAAAAATAATCAAACGGGATGGAGGGAGTGAAAAAGCGCGTACAGCCAATTTTAAAGCAGCCTAAAATAGTTCTATTGCTTTCGAGCAAAGCAGCGATTGGTTTAGGATTTTTCTTCTCTCGTTTGTTGCTAATAAATAAGTCCTAGTCTACAGCAAGTCGTATGCGACTGTCTAAAGCTCTCACATATTCAAATGCGTCAAGTATTCATCAGAATCAGCAGCAGCAGCAGTAGTAGTGACGAGAGCGGCAGCGGCCGTCGCATCATTCATTAACAATCATTTTTTCGCTTTGGATATATTTGGCATATTTACTAGACTTTTTGGCGCAACAAATCCCAAATCGGGCAATGATATAATGCTGGGTACGATCGGTTGTTGTGCGGTTTGAAATGCATTCGATTCAATGGTACAAATGGGTTGCTGATTTTTCTGTTGCTGCTGCTGTTGGTGTTGTTGTTGTTGTTGTTGTTGTTGTTGTTGTTGTTGTCGCAATGCATTTGGTTGAACAATAAAATTGCCTGGACTCGATGTTCGGCTGGTGGCCGACTGAAATGATGTATTCCATGATTTGAACATTGATTCATAGTTTGAATTCGATTCCGATGCCAGGGAATTCGATGCGAATCGTTGCAAATTGGGCGGTGTTGATGACACAAACTCGGACCAATCGTCTTCATCATTGCTTTGTTGCTGTTGCTTCAATAGATTTTTGTTCAAAATATTTGTGATTGGGGTTTGTGGTTGAACCACAGATACAAAATCGGACCATTCATCATCGGTATTTGTGTCAGTAATTTGTTCATTGATTTTGTCATTGGATTTTGCTGGCTCGGCTGGCTGTGATGCCGAAAAGAAACGTTTTTCAAACTGCTCTAGCTGATCGGAATTGATGCCTGGCTCTGGCCATTGAATCGCCGACGCATAATTGTTCATCATTGTCAGCTGTGGTTGCACACTTGACGCTGCTGACGCCTTTTGCGGTGTTAAAATACCCGAGTTGCTGGTAAATTTATTCGAATTCATTGAATTCATCATTGTAGTATTCGCGTGACTTGTTGGCTGGAAATTGGCCGAAATTGCCGTGCTATGTAACGAATTGCTAATTGACGCCTTTTGTAGCGATGCACTTGTAGTGGAATGTTTTTGATCGATCGAACTAATGGAAAATATCTCCATTGAATCGGTTGCAAAACCAAAGTTATTGGTATGATTGTTAAGTATACCGCCGCTGCTGCCGCCATCGGCTGGAATGTTCTTCGGTGATGTGAAATTATCGTTCAACGAATAAAATTCAAAATCAGACCGATTGCCATTGCTCAGTGCATTCGCATTGGATTGCATTTTTTTGGCCGCTTGATCAATTGATGGTAAACTATTGAATGTGGAACTCTCAAAGCTATTCAAATAGGATGCAGATTTTGGCAGTTTATTCGTATATCCATCATTCGACATTGTTTCCGGTGATTCATTTTTGTCCGCTGACAAATCAGGAAGGAAGTTACTAATTGAATTTGGTTGCAGTATTGAATTCGATACGCTTGTCGAGTTCGTTGATAAACCGATGGAGTTTGACGATGCGATGGAATCGGATAAGCTTGTGGTCGACAGCGTTGTTGGATTCGGCTCAATGATGGCATTGTTCGAAATCATCGTTGGCGATGCGAATTGAAAATCGGAAAAGTCATCAGTGACAGCCGTCAATTTGTTCGGTTCATATTCAACATCACGATACTCCTTTTTCACAACATTCTCTTTGATAACAATGGTATCGCTCGGAAACTGATCAATATCGCCCGATGGAATGTCAATGCGTTGAGTTTTGGCGTTGCCATTTGAGACTGATGATGATGATGATGGTGCTGGTGTTGCTGGTGTTGGTGTTGCTGGCCTTGGTAACGATGAATCGCTGCTCGCATTCGGTTTGATTGGTGTGAATATGTGGGTTTCCTTCATTGTGCCACTGCTGCCGGGCACAGTGTATGAGTCAGATGTTTGCGATGGTTCCGAGTCGATGTCGCCCAAATCGTTTGTGTACAAATCGACCTTGGCTATTGATTCGGAATTTACCGTTTCTATTGTTGCTGTTGTTGTTGCTACCGTAATGGGCGCGATAATTGGTGCCGTTATTGGTTTAAGGGTTTCCGATCCAAGTGCAGCACTTTGTGGTAATATACTTTGCTTCCCTCGATCAAGGGATTTCGCTTCTAGCGGAATGTGTTCTTCGTGTGGTGGAGGTTTTTGCGCTCCTTCAAAAATTTGAAACAAAATTGAAATGTTAATCGAAATCGAAAGCGATTGAAAAATGACTGAGAGAGAGAGAAAAATAGAATTTTTTTTTCGTACGAGGAAGTTATATTGCGAATTACTAAAGAAAAATACAATAAAAACATCTTTGAGTGATATATAAAATCAGGAAATAAGTAGAATTCCAAGTGAATCGTGTGACTACTTTCACAAGATGTACAAAATAATAAAAAATAACAAATGAGATCAAATCAAAGCAACTTCTGTGGAATGCTTGGCTTCAGTGGCCGAACACCAATGCAAAGTCAAAAATGGTACATGCAATTAAAAACAACGAAATAGTAATGCAAGGTAAATCATAATCAATCTAAAAAAACAACAAACAAAATAAACAATGAATGAATCCATGTTAACATCTACCGAAACTGAAGAGGAATAATACAAAATCGAAATGGAATATATGATTTAAACATAAAAGTGAGACAGAGAGTGACTCGATTTGTTGAGAAGAGTGTGTTTGTGTGTATGGATAATTAGTAGCACCAAATAATTGATCAAAACTTACTAAAATACAAATCAAATGCATTGTTCATTTGATTTGAATGGTCCATCACCAGTGGTTTGAGATTAGTATCGAATCGCAATTGTGTGAGTCCGTTAGTGGATTTTATGAAATTGTTTTTTTGTTTATTGAATTGATTATGTTCCATAGACGCATAGCCGATATCATGTTGATATGTTGTTGAGCGATGCATGTTGTTGTTGATATTGTTAGCGACGGCGGCGGCGGTAGCGGCCAATTTCAAATCGTTCAGTGGAATGGCAGACACATTTTGGTATGCAGTGGATGATGTCGATTTGGAAGAGGTGGTTGTTGTTGTTGTCGTCGTTTTTATTGTTGTTGTTGCAGTTGCAGATGCGGTAAATTTTAGTGCCGAATTCGTTGTGGAACATGCAGAGGAGGAGGAATTAAGATTTATTTTATCTAGATTTGCCACCACCACTAGTTGTTCTAGGTCCAATAGTAATGTGTGTGCGTGTAATGCTGAATACAAATATGCGTTTTTACGAATAAAAAAAATACAACCCATGATACGTTTTAAAACACGAAATGAAATCGAAGTAAGAGGATACAAATAGTGTACGTGTGTGTATATGTGTTATATGTGTTAGAAAAATAAAACCAAACCCAAAGACGAAAATGTTGAAGTAGAAGACTAAGAAGAAGAGACCAAAAAACATATTATCTTGTTGATAATGGAGAACACATAAAACAAAAGCGAAATTCAACGGCCCTTTGCCACAACTCAATTGTTTTTGTTGTTGTTGTTGTTTTGTTTTTCAGTTTTGTAGCAGAGATCATAAACGAAATGAAAAACTAGAAAAGGAAAAACGAAAACCAAAACAAGTGACTGAAAGAATCGAATCGATTTATCTTTTTCATTTGTTAAAACAGAAAGAAAACACTATGTGTGTGTGTGTGTGAAACAAGAACAGCTGGTGCAATTGAACCAATGGCCTTTGAATTAAATTGATCTTCAGTATTTTTCTCCTTTTCTTTCTTCGAAATTAAACATAAAAGTCTATTGCTCGTCTCGAACTGTTTTTTGTAAGTGTTGAAGAGTTAAACTCACCATCCAATGGATTTATCAGACCCGAATCTTTCCAGTCAAATTGAGCGGCTGGCACATCGAGAATTGACTTGGACCCTTTGACATCGCTGTCATGTGAGTTCGATGACGTTACTTTCATTGGTTCCAATGGGCTCAATCCTAAATTGGCTGCAAATTTTGGCGCCGAACTATTCCATTTCTCTCCATACAGCTGTAAAACAAAACAATCGGTATGAGTAACAACAAAAATTGGCAATGAATCGATGATAAACGAAAATCAATGGAAAAACACTTACAATATTCCGTGAATCGATTCCCAAGGCTTTGACCAGTACAGTTTTGCTAGTTGATTTGGCCCATTGATGAGCTAAAGCATTTGAATTTTCTACATTTCTTAGTTGTGTGGTGAGTTCATTGATAAAATGAACATTTGCATAAATATTGCCATGTGATTGACGATGGTAACCAGTGGATGCATCACTATTATCCCCGGCGGCGGCGGCTTCATCACCCGGAAACATCGTAGTCAGTATAGAACTAATATTAAGCTTGATATTTTTACTATCTAATAGCACACTTGTGTCTTTTGATACATCCGTTTGTGTAACACTTTCCGTTTGTACAGCAGCAGCCGGCGTTTGTTGAAAGTCACTAAATTCACCAAATTCATCATCGTCGTCGTCATCATCATCACCATTATCGTTATCAAAGGCGGCCGCTGTATAATTGTCTTTTTTATCACATTGTTTGGTGCTGCATTCGGGCGGTGATGAATCGATTTCCACACTCTCTTGCACTGAATTAGCATCATCGAAGGCCGCAAATTGCCCAAAATCCGCATTGAATTCACCGAAATCGGTGCTTGTTTCGAAATGGGTCACATTTATGCTGAATTCGTCATTTAAATCATCAAATGAATTGTCTTTTCTAAAGCCTGAGTCATTGGAATTATTGGCTGTCTGCGATGGCGTTTGCTCATCACTGTCAAGAGGTACTGATTTGGTTTCGTCATCGATGTTCAACGATTTAGCCACTATGTGATCGGTTTGAAATGTGTGTTCGAATTTTTCATCCAGGGCTTTTACAAAGTTTTCTTCCAGCGTTGCTTGTTCAATTGCAATCGCATCATCGATAGCCTCATCGTTTGGATTTAATTCACCAATTGAAAATGAGCCGAATTCCGGTTCGGGTGTTTGTCGAATTGAATCCAAATTCCAAGACGGTGAACTCGATAAATTATCCTGTTGATCGATGACCAGTTCATTTTTATCACCATCCGAATGGTTGGTCTGTGTGTCTGGTTTTTCCAATGATGACGGATCCACTTCATCGTCTTGCTTGAGATCAGCCAACGATGTGCTTGCGTCTTTGGACGTTGTTATCGTCGTCGAACTGTTGCCATTCGAATACACATCACCAATAGCACTATCATTACCATTTCGTAATTTATCACCGTCAAAATGAAGCTCATCGTCGGGTGCAACACTAAAATTGTCTAAATCTTCAATCACCTGCTGTGATTCAAGGTCTAATTCTAAGCTTAACGGTGAATCGGTAGCCTCGGCCACTGTGTCAGGCGCCACAAATTTTTCACCATCTAATATTGTTGTTGTGGTCGCTGTCGTCGTCGTCGTCGCCGTCGTCGTCGTTTGTTTCAAGTGAGGTGATGACGGCAGTGATTCCTCTAAAACAATGAAAACAATATAAATCATTCAAAAAATAATTTAATCAATTTATGAGATGAAAACTATTCAATAGTTTTCCAAATTCAAACTCAAGGTGAACATTTTCGAATGAATTTCGTTTCAACGACGCCATTTGTCATACCGTCAAGATCATAATTGTCATTTGGCGCACTCAAATCCTCATCACTCTCCAAATCGTCGATCGGTGGCGGTGTATTGCAAACTAAAGGTGGTATCGTAGGCATTTTCTCTCTGTGAAGATAAATGGCTTGGTTGCTGTGCGCGCGCTCTCACACTCTCTCTATCTCTCGCTCGCTCACTCTATTTTTCTAATGTTGTGTTTTCTTTTGTTTTAAGTACAATCTAAACTTAATTCACTTGTAACACGTCAACTCATGGAACTTGTGGGCCGTTGTGCACTTTTAGAAAATTTACTGCAGTCCCATGTTTCGATTTCAGTTGTTGCGCGGGGGTTTCTTTCCAATTCGATCGAAAATCCTATGAATATAAAAGAAAAATACACGAACATATCGTCATGAGAAAAATGGTCAAAACAAAACAAATGCACATAAAAAAAACTAATAACAAAGAACTAATGAGTTGTAGGTCTGAGCAATAATTAAGAAACCTTTATCACAATCCAAGGAGTTTTCCAAAATCACATATCTATTATTGAATTATGCACACGTACAACCAAATAAACAACAAGAATACTTTTTATCAAAAACCAAACAAAAGTAAAAAAAAAAGAACAGAAAGGTGTATCCAATTCCAAAATGTTATGCTTACGTTCAAACAGTGACGAAATGCAACAACATTTTCCGTAATATTTTTCATGAAATTTAGTAATTTTTTTTTCCTTCCCTTCTACTTTTCCTCTCTTCACTTATAAAATATATATATATATCTATCTGTCACAAAAAGAAAAAGTCATACGAACAATAAATGACTTCAATACACCTGTGAGTTTTTGTGTTAGCCAAGTGACAGATGTTATTAAAGAGACGAAGAGAAGAGAGAAGAAAGAAAAAATGTGCATATCGTTGACACTTTGCATTCCAGCCCGTGAGCGAGGAATGAAACATTGTGTTTTATACTACACATAACTTTACGTACTTTGACGCCACGTAAAAATTCCATCGTACTGCACACACGTACTTTAACGTCAGCCAGTTTCAGATTTTCTGATTGATATAAGTGGAAATGAACAAGAAAATCGTCACCAGAAAAACAAAATTGGAAGAAAATCGGTTTTCAATTGAAAAAAATAGTGATTGAAAATTGCTTTTTGAATAAATTATGCATGGGACCGTGATTGAACAGTAGAATAAACTGTACTCAAGCTAAGTACTACTTGAGTGAGCTTTGTGTCTAGAAATGTTTAAAAGTTATGCTATATGTCACGACCGATTGCGGCGGCCATTTTTCCTCCATTGCAATGACAAATAGCATATGGCGGACCATCAAATAAATCTTGTCGGAAAACTTTGCGTTTTGTAAACAAAAAGAGGTATGTTTATGGTAAAATCGGATTTTTGTAATGTGCAAACTAGAAAAGTGACAAAATAAATGTGCAAATTTTATGGTCGATACCCAGTTTAGTGATTAAATTGTTAAAAACGGACAAAGGGGTTTATTTCTTTTTTCGAATAATTCAAACGGAGGCGAAACAAAACAAAAGAAGCAACATACACTCAAAAAAAGTGCCCAATTTCAGCTGACGCAATTCCAATATAGAGATTCCACTACCATTTCACAAACGTGAAGAACAAAAAAAAACAACCATCAAATCAATCAACACACAAATCAATCAAACATCGATGGCACTGACGTATTAATTTCACAAATCGCAAAAATGCCACAGTTAACGAAAACAATAGCGTTGCCGCCGATTTTTTTCGATGCTATTGACAAAGAGACAAAATATCCGGTCGATTCAAGTTCGATTCATCATCATCGCGCGAATGCAATAACAGAATGTACTACTGCTGCTGCTGCTGCTGCTGCTACTGCCACCTCCGCTGCTGTTGTTAACAACACCGATATTGATAGTAGTGATATTGCTGTAAATTGTGATAGTTTCAATACGATAGAAATTAAGCGAGAGACTGACGACATTGACGATGTTAGCATTATGCCAGTGCTGACCGATGATATGGATTTATTGAGTAGCTGTGATATACTTACAACAAACAATGATGACAAGCTGCATGCCGGAGGCATTAAGCCGACCACCAACTTTTTATGCCATCGATGTAGACAAGTGTTTAGTTCGCGCGATGAGTTTGAAACGCACTACAAGTAAGTTACACCTACACAATTACACACAAATTGGCTGCCAAATGACAGCAAATATTCATTTTGTGTGATTTTTTTTTCACTGCTTACTTACCCTTTTCTCTAGGCAAGCGTATAATGAAACACCAATTTATACTTGTCAAATTTGTGACAAACAAATGAAAAATAAACGATCATATCAACGTCATTTCAATCGTCATTCGAGCTCGCAAAAATTCACCTGTACGATATGCTCAAAAAAATTTGCCCAGGAAAAATTGCTGAAGAAGCATGAATCCGTTCATACGACAGCCAAATCATGTTTGGACTGCAAAGAGGAATTTTTCGATTTGTACAAATTCAAAGCGCATCGTCGCACACATCACACACAAACCAAGAAGCAACAACTGTATCAATGCACCGACTGTGGTAAAATGTAAGGACAAAGAATACGTATATGGTTTAGTAGCATTTTCACTCTGATTTTCTTTTTGTCAATTTAATGAATGAAACCAAATTAATGATGATTTTTTCGTATTTGTCTTCAGAATGAAGAATCGAAGCAGTTTGAGTATGCACTCAAAGATACATAGCAACGACCGTCAGTATGGATGCATGATTTGCGAGCAAAAATTCGTGCAAAAAATCAACTTAATCAATCACCTGAAAGTGCACAATACGACAAAAACGCACTCGTGCAACGAATGTGGCAAAAGGTAGGTGGTTTTCAATTGATTTGTACTGAAATATCAAATAAATCCCTCCATTCCCTCCGAAAAAAACATGACCAGCATAAAAGAGAATCTATAATGTATGAAAATGCGGCAAATTATCGACAAAAATGCTCATTTTTCTCCATTTTTTCCTTCCTCTTCTGCTTGCAGCTTTGTTGGACAGTCTCAGCTATTGCGTCACTGCACCCAGCATACGAATATACGATCGTTTGAATGTGAAATTTGTAAAAAATTCTACAAAACAAAGCGTGACCTGAAGCTCCATCTAATGGTACACTCATCACAACGGCCGCACAAATGTGGAATGTGTTCGAAAACATTCTTAAGCACATCCAAGCTCAAGCAACATTTGAACATCCATTCGGGTGATCGCCCATTTAAATGCAGGCACTGCCCCAAAGATTTTACCAACTTTCCGAATTGGTTGAAGCACACCCGACGACGGCATAAAGTGGATCATAAGACTGGCGAAAAACTGGTTGTAATGCCCAAATTTTTGGACAAAGCGAACAAAGCGGGTAAAATGAAGGCGACAAAACGATCAAAAGCAACGGATAATAACAATGACAACGCAGCCGTTTCCTCGAATACGACGATCCAAATGAACGATGAAACCAAGGTAAAAGTGGAGGGAGGCATACAAAACAGTAATTCGGGTGATAATAGATTAGCGGATTTGACGACGATATCATCATCATCGATGGATCAAGATGTACTGTTGACACAAGCACTTGATAAATGTACAATGCCATTTGTTGTGACAAAATCGGGCAGCGAACACTCCACCATTACGGTCAACAATCGAACTTTGCCATTGAATACGTCCGATGATTTAGAACGTGCCGCATCATTGCTAATGCATCAAACACTCGATTTGGAAGATGACTTTGAGTTTGTTAACATCAAATCCGAAACATTTGATCCCATTGTATCGGATATTACGGATGATTTTCAACAACAACAACAACAGCAGCAACAACATCACCAGCAACTGGATTCCAGTAAATCAATGTCAACCAATAGTTACAATTTAACATCAGATTTCTCAAATTTTCACTACACCAGCTCCGATTTTATGTATTCGTACTATCCACAAGCGACTCAATGTGATTTTGCTATGATGCCGTTGCCACCTATCCAAACGGTGAAACGAAAATTGAAAGGCATCAGTTCATCGTCGTCCATTTTCCCTGGCATGACAAACGTTCTATAAAGATAGCAGAAGAAGAAAAAACGAACGGTTTCACCTCCAACTGGCCAAAACAGAGGAGAAAATTGTCAAAATTCACACAAAGCGGCAAACTAAGCAATACCGCCATCATTATTATTGAACCTCATCTCATCGAGAAAAACATTTTATACATCACATTCTTTCTTTTTTAAGTATTAATTTTATTTTCATTTCTATGTTTGTCTGAGCTACTCAGATGCATCACAGCCATCGTGATCCATATAGTCTCAGCCAGTTTGTGCTTGCATGATGACACCACACCAGCACACATTTTTTAAAACATTAAAAAAAAACATTATTTAAAAGTAATTCTCAGCATCAGCATTAACATAACATCACCATCATCAGTTCGTATAAATAACTTCATTATACAAATACGTCGTAAATGAATTTATTCTTGCACACTGGCAATCATTTCCTAAACAGAAATTCATTCAGGTGTTTATTTCTACTGTATCTAGTTTTTTAAGCGATTTCATCATCAAGATTATTCTTTAGATAAGAACATTTTAATTGTTAAGTATTGGTCCATGGAATGGACGAATCTATCGATTATTTAAATTTCATATACGAAAAAGAGCTATGTACGTACGTACGCCGTTGCCAGCGCCAATGATTCCACTTACCATTGCACAAACGATTCAAGTTGACGAACTTTTGCCACTTTTTCATAAAATGATATCATTTGATGCTTTTCCGTCAATATTTGATTAATTTTTATGTCAGCATATGGCATTAATCATGGGCAAAGGAAGATGGAGAGGCAGCGAAAGAATATGAAAAGGGGAAAATGAATACGAAAGACGAAAGTTGTGCTAATACGGGGGACGGGGAAGGTAGATGGTTAAGAAAATAAGCGAAACGAAATTAAAGGGAAAAACAAGGGAGTGAAAACGGGGAAAAGACGTGGTAAATGGAAAATAATGAAAATCCGCTGAAATCATTTCATGAATATTCAGTTCAACAGAGAGAGAGAGGAAAAGGCTTATTTTCATGTTTGTAGAGGATGATTGATTTTTATTTCGTAAAGCAGGTTGTACTTTTTGGAATTATAATTTGTTAGATAATAATCCCTCTCTCTATCCCTCGCTCCCTCCATAAACTGGATCTGAGTATATTACTTAATTGGGGATTAATGGATAAAATGAATTTATAAGCCAATTCAGAAATGAAACAGTCCCATGTGTTTTGTTAATTTGAAGGCAGACAGAAAACACGGTAAAATACATATAAATCGAGTAACGGTAATCGAATTGAGTGTGAACACTAATCATTTACTTAAATCCAACTGAATTCAACGTTTATTGTATGCATATATTTACCTTATATCAAGGAAGAAGGTCTAATCATAATTTCGTTGCGCCTATTTTGAAATTACTACCATAGAGAAATTGTGCCAATATAGAAGTAATGTAATAAGTAACTTATTACTTATTACTTTCATTTTATTACCGTAATAAGATGGACTTATTATTATTACTTGTAATAAGATGCGTAATAAGTAATAAGCCCATCTCATTACAGTAATAAGATTGTAATTGTAATAAGATTGTAATAAGTATCTTATTACTTTTGGTGCAAAAATTTCGTTTCTTCAAAAGTTTCATACAAAAATCATATCAAATTTTGCAAGACACATTCTTCTGTATTCACTGAACATTCAATTTACCAAACATTTCAAATTCAGTAATTTTTCATCTCTCAACCTTGGAAATTTCGATTTATCGACCCTCTAATTTTCTCATACATTTTGAATTGTTACCCTTTGATTTTCTCATAAAATCTCATTTTAACGTACATCCACTGTTTTGTGCGAATGATCCAACGACATGAAATTCACCGTAGGTCAAAATATAATTTCTATTCATTTCGAATCAAGCGCATAGCGAGCATTCAAAGTTTCTGATCAGTGTTGAGAGATATACCGTATATTATACTGTGACGGTATATACCGGTATATACAACAAATAATATACTATGCCTTTAAAATCAATAAACACATAGTAAAAACAATCTCAAAAAACTAAAAACTGTCAAACTTGTTATAATTTGACATTTCAAACATTTTTAATGACTTTGCATCATTTTTTTTAATTGCAAAAGGCTCTTCTTCATATTATGTATATAAGTATACTTCGGTATATACCGCTGGTATAGTATATTGATGTCTACTGATTTGCAACACTGTTTCTGATAGAATCGAAGAGTGCATATTTGCTGCTGAGCTGAATTTGCTGACACAGGCGCCTGAAGCGGTATTTAAACGCATTTACGATGCAAAATTGTTATTGCTAATGTGTCAGCAAATTCAGCACAGCTCAGGCTTGTTCAGCAGCAAATATACAGTCCCTGGATAGAATGAACGTCGAATCCTTTTGAGTTGCATTTATTTAAGGTATCAGTCAAAGCTCATTGTCTATTGATAAATGCCACAATATTCGTTTCTTTTTTCTCTTCTACATGAACCACAAAGATCTCTTAATTTTAAATTTAGCAATGCTAATGAAAAATAATGAAAGAAAAACACACAAATTTATGTACAAAAACTCAAAAGCTCAACTGAAAAAATGAAGTAGAAGAAGAATAAGAAAAACCGATGAGTATGTTAAGAATGAACATCGAATCGTACCATTAACTTACTGTTTTCACATTCTCAAAGTCCATTGTAACTTTACTCACGAAATAAACACAGTTCGGAACAAAAATGACGCGATTTGAGATATGAAACTGTGAAATATACGTGTATGTGTTATGGAAATAGAGAAAAAAAATCATTCATTGAATCTTATTTTATCACTAAGAAAAAACAAATACAACATCATGAAATTAAAAATCGAAGCAATAAAGAACAATCCATTAAGAAAATATAACAAAAACGAATCGTGTTTTCAATTCGAATGCTTGGAATTTGGGTAATGATGAGGAAAAAAATTCGGTCGAAAATTATTCCAAATTCGTTTGATATGACGAGTTTCCAATTTAGCTGATCCGATTGCCGATTTTGAATGTCAAATTTCCCAATAAATTGACATTTTTACCACAGAAAAAAAAAACAGAAGAAAAAAATGAAAAAAAAACAGAAAAAACTGATAGCAACATCGAAATCTCAAAATACATTTCAAAACTGGCATAACAAAAGGTACATTTTTTCTCTATTAAATTAAGATACTTAAAAAAGCATAAAAATGAAACAACACTCAAAAACGGTACGTTCCCATTATAAAATATATTAGTTGTTCCGTTTTTCATTGCAACATTTAAAACGCTATTTATTCATTATTTATTCATTCATCTTTTCTTGTATTTAGGCAATAAAAGTTTTTTTTTCTCGAGGTGTGTTTTTTCAATAGCATGTCGTATTAGGTTTTGATCCGGCTTATATTCATCTGATTGATATGTACACAGAATGATGATATGTTTCGTTTTTTTTTTGGTTGTCACTTTGAATGCTCAATGATACTTTGACCTTCAGAATTATCTGATAAATTCTTTCGGTATTTAGCGATAAACGTTTGCAATGAGATGTGTGAGTTTGTCAAAAATGTGTTAGAGCAGCGAAAATTAGCAACGAAAAATAAAACTCATTTACAATAGAGCACACACAAATTTGTTAATTACTATTGTAATAGTTCAGTGGCAGAAGCGAAAAAAAGCGCTAATGCTATTGGATTCGGCGGCAATTGATTAATTCAAAACAGTGGAAGAAGAAGAAACAAAACAAACAAAAAAACCACATCTCTCAATTCGGTGCTAAAATAATAAGGTTTCGTTTGAAGACTGACCTATTCAGAATCTTAATTCAATGCAAAGTAAAGTAGGTAAGAGGTTACGAAAACCAAAGTGTTTAATTGAGGCTAAAACTAATAAATTTTATCATTAACACTGGAGTATATGTGCGTTGCTTCGAAAAACATGAATAATTTAAATTATTCTTGAATTATACTTTTCTATTTCTCTCTCTCTCTCTCTCTCTCTCTCTCTCTCTCTCTCTCTCTCTCTCTCTCTCTCTCTCTCTCTCTCTCTCTCTCTCTCTCTCTCTCTCTCTCTGGTCGTTTCATTTGATGTGCAGTGGCAGCCGCAGCAACAGCAGTAGCATCAGCATTAGCATCATAATCGTCGTCAAGTTTGGGCCGTTGATCGTGATATTGAGCATGTATACGTTGATCGTGATATTGAGCATGTATATAACCTTTGAAAGGGAGTTCAATAAAAATTTGGTTCATTAGGTGATGATAAATGTATTCGAAGAATGAATTAAAGACGCTTTTTAACGATCATAATGCGCACGAGTCGACAGTTTGACTTGATAATTCAAACGAGTCGCATGCATCACACGGCTTACTCCGTTCGTTCGAAAGAAGCAATCATATTGGTACTTGACACTCTCCACATGAAATCAGAGTCCGTTTGAACCAAGTATTTGATGTGAGTGAATCATCCGATCAAAAATAATGACAACAACAAAAGCAAGAGCGACCGCAGTAGCTGAAACAACGAAAACCATAAGCGCCGAACTCTATGATAGAGAGAAGAGGTGTCTCGTCAGCTGGTTTTAACTGCCGTATTTGGTGAGCAAAGTAACAAGTGACAATAGCCCCGATACATGCCGTAAGCGATGTTAACATTTTAAACAGTTGTGTTATAAACGCAGACAGCAGTGGTCGCGCAATTTTCTTTGCGTGTTTTCGGTCGGTCGGTCAGATTGCTTGCCTGTTTAGTGTATTGTTATTTTATTCCGTTTCGTTACGTTGCTGCTGCCTTTTTTTCCACGGATCATTTTTCCAAGTTCTCAAGCAAGATCGATCTTTTGTTTTGCGGTGTGTGTTAAGTGTGTTCTGTGTTGTTCTCGCATTGAAAAAAAAAACAACAACTACAACTGCCTGATAACAACAAGAAGAAGCAACAAAAATAAAAATCAACATACACGCCAATCAGTGTCAACGAGAGAAGTCAACTAATTTTAATGTTAAAAGTCACTCGACACTTTTTACTCGATGTGTTTGCACGAGCATTCAGAATATCATGGGCAACGAACAATTCAAATGAATAAATAAGAATCATCGAACAAATCGAATGCAAATTATTTAATTTTCGGTTCCATTTTATTATTTGTTGTATTTTCATTGATGCCGATGAAAATGTGCACGCGTTAGAACAAGACTCAATCAAACAATTCTCTAACTGAAACTTTTTTTTTGCAAATCGCACGCCGAAACTGAAGATTGTGATTGAGCGCGATTGAGAGTGAATTGAAAGCGAGTTGCGTAAAAGTGTTTGTGTATTCCTGCTGAGTGTGTGTGTATGTGCGATTCCATGTGGAAATTCATGAAAATTTCTATCAATTAAAGGCTGATTCAAGTTTTAATATATTCACAAGGTACGTATTTGCATCAATCAAATAGAATTTTTAATCAATTAGAACGGTTGTCGATAGTAACCAATTGATATCTAATCATTTTTGCACTCTCTCTCTCTCTCTGGCTACGGACTGTATACACGCGCGCGCGCGCGTGTTTTGAATATATTTGGTAGAATTAAGTTACGTCAATTGAATCTCGGAGTCGTGGTGACAGTAGAAGGATTCGTACGTAATATTTTGTTTACATTTAGAACAATGACCCAATCAAATTGTTCTCCAAAAATTTCAACTCGTTCAATTCCAGTGCAGAATTTGATACAGTTTTTCATTCGACGAACCAAATTTGCTCAAGAATCTATTCTATTCATTGTTCATTTTCCGCACATAAGCTTGGTTCGTCACAGCTATCGATTCGATCACACCAATTTTTTGGGTATTTGTCTGATGTGATCCAAAACCGCTCTTGAAAAGTTCACTATAGTTTACCATACAGTTAACTATATAGCTATCCCTTTTCCGCTCATTCATCATCGACATTTTTCCGCTCAACTTTTCTGTATTACATTTTCGCTCCAAACCATTCATATGTACAAAGTGATCCGGGCGTCAATGGCGAAAGAGCTCTTCCATCGAAGAATTTTAATATGCGATTCATAATAGACAGCAAAATGCAAATATGACTTTATTGAACAAGGATTTTTGGCGGTCATACATTCGCGCGAAACGGATGGATAAAAGCCAAACGTGAGAGATCGAGTGTCATCATCGAACAAGTTTTTTTTGTATTCTCCTATGAACATCGTCTGTTTCTTTTTTCTTTCGGTGTGTCGCTGTTTCGCCAAAGTCATTGGACAAATCAAATTCCGATGACAAATTCTTTTGAGTGGCGATAGCAACAAAGTTGTTCATTTGGCTATTTCATTTTCATTCTATTCTCCGATCGTCATCATTTACGTTTGATCATTTCATTTTACCGATACTTCACGTGCGCGATGTCACACATTAAATTTACATTTTGACTGACAAAATTGCCGAATTGCGAAAACATAAGCGACGAAAAAAAAAAAATTATATTATTATTATTATTATTTCTATGTGATGCGCTTGCAAAACGATCGACTATGCGATTTCAGTAATGTCCGTTGCTTCGTTGTTCTGGATATCGAGAAAAAAAAATTGCGCATTTCCTAAGTCGCGCTTTGTTATTTTCTGATTCTTTTTTAATGCAATAAACCAACAGCGACGACGACAAACAAAAAAAAAATCATGAAACAGAAGTGAAGCCAAAACATTTGCATATAAGCAAGATGTAACAGACCGCGAGCGCAAGAAAACAACAACAAGCAAAGAGGAAAGCTAAACGGAATACAATATAATTTAACGTAATTTTCAAATTAATTGCAAGCAATCGACGGTACACAAAAAACAACAACAACAATAAATTCGAGCGATTGTGTGCATGTGTAGTAAATAAGCCACTTGGGCAAAACAAACAAACGAACGAACGGAATGGTCGCGATCAATTTCAAAGCACAACTTACAACACAGCAGCATATATACACTCTTTTTTTTCATCTCAAAACGCCCATTTGAATGCATTTCAAATCGTAGCGAAGTGCACATGCGCCTAATAGAAGTAAACCATGTGTGTGTGTGTGTGTGTACCCACATGATATTATATTGAACAAGGTCTAGTTCATCATTTACCGTAATTTTCAATTGATCATTTATTAACGGCAAATAAAAGTCGTGTGTGCAAGCTGTGTTTACACACACGGTGGTTTCCCTTTTTTTCTCTTTCTCTTTCTATCTCTGTTGTGTCTCTAAATGGTTTAATAAACATAAGCACACTCTGTCAATTAAGCAAACATAAATTCAAAATAGAAACAATGTCATCGAAACACACACACACCGAGAGTGAGAGAGAGTGGAAATGCCATCATTTTTGGGTAGCAGACCAGATGGTCAGTGTAACAAAGCACCGACGAAATTCTTTGTTTTGAATTTGCCGAATTTGTGTGTGTGTGTGTGTTTATGGATTTGAATAAGACAAAAAAAGAAGCGTAGTTGCGCGTGAGCGTACGCGCGCGCCACTCTTATCCAAAACAATGCCATCCGATTGTCAACCGATTGCTTAGAGAGCACAACTATGTCAATGTGGAGCATCGTATCGTCAAATTAAGGTCTTTTGCCTTTTAAACAATCAATTTTGATTGTTCACATTACACTGAGAAGTGTGTGATATGCTCACATCTGCTATCTGTACTCTCTCGGGCCGCTTGTGTAAGCTCGCGCACACAAATCGCGATTGCCTCAAAAACCCGACATTCTGCATTCTAGTAGTGACAACGTGTGTATCACATGAACCGAATCAAACTGTTTTGCTATAGTTTGAACAAGAAACAAGTGTCTATTTCATATTCTGTTTAAAAAAAAAATCAGCCGCAGAAATCATAAGACCACGTTTCAGGAAATTGGTATTCTGAGTCACATGTATAGCATACGTTAGATGAATTTAAAGCGATATGATGTGTCGTTCGAGTACATTTGCTCATTGCGCTCTTTGAAACGAAAAAGAAAAAAACGAGTAAGAAAAACTTAAACAATTGTGACCTTCAACCAGAGATTAGGTAGTCATCGAAAAAATAAAAATCGTCATCGTCTCTATCTCCTTATGTCTCTTCAGCTAGATTATTTGTTTGTTGTATCCATATTTTGGCTTTCTATGCTTTGATATGACCCTCTATATTACATTACTTACCATGACCCTCTGTGAGTAAAAAGTAAGCTAAATTTTAGACTGACCTTGTGCGCGATAAACTAAAACGAATTTGGAACATTTTTATGCAAAAGACGGAAAAGAAACATGAATAATATGTGATTAATACAGACACATACACAACAACAAAAAAAGATGAATAATCCCATCGAAATCCAAAGACAAACAAAGGAAAAGAAAAAAAAAATGCTAAGCTCGATGGTTTGTGCAGTGCGCGCGGTGGCGACCGTCGATAACGATCACACTTGTGCCAATAATCATTAGCACACGCGGATATGTCCACCGAAAAAAAAGGTGAGAAACAAACCAGTTGCCGCAATTGACAGCATCAAGCAACAGCATTGCTTTCTAAAACAACGTAACAATTGTGGAAAAGTCGACAACTATTGTCGTTGCAAAAAAAAGCGTAACAGTAGCAGAAAAATCAATTTTCATCTTCATTGACATAGTTGGATGCAGAAAATGAAATGAGTTTTCATTTTTCTTTTTGATAGAGATTATGGTGATAGAGAGAAGAAGAAAAAACACCGAATAAACACAATACAATAGAATCAATGCGCGCGTCGTTGCTCAGATAACGCACACGTAATAATAATAATGAAGATAAAAAAAAGTTCGCTTAAAATCTATCTCTGTCCGACTTGTGTGCATTACAATCGCCGAACATGAACACAAACACACACACACACACACACACACAGCCCGAACGTTTTCACTGTTTTCAATAACAAATAATTAACCGAAATAAAGCGGCTTACCTTGACTTACAACGCTCTCAGTTGTGTCTATATGAATCTCTCTCTCTCTCTCTCTCTCTCTCTCTCTCTCTCTCTCTCTCTCTGAGTGTGTGCATGAATCCCCATATTCGATGATATTGAATGTACGAATGTACGACGATGGAGAGAAGGAAACTGGTGAACTGAACTCAACTGAAGTGAAGTGATGAAACCCCTTTAAACGCAACATATGCCGATATAGTTGCGCGATGAGCATAGCTCTTTTATTGGTATGCGATCGTTTGCGGGTTTTTTTTCGTTCGTTAAATATTCGTTTAAGGTATAGTCTAATTTTCAGTTTGTTGTTGCTTTTTTTTGTTTGCTCTCTACCAATCAATTTTCGGATGCATCAAATCGGAGTGCATAAACAACAACAACACCAACAACAGCAGCACCAATAAAAAATACGTTGTGCTCTTATTCAGCGAATGGATGGGCACATGAAACTAAAAGTAATTTTTTTTTTGAATGCGATGCAATACGATGCTTGGCGAGCACGTTTTACATACATACATATATAAATGTACGAACGGCAAAAAAGAAAGCGAAATACTACACAATTTACTTTTATTGCGATTCCATTCAATGATTGCTCACATTCGTTTCGTTTCGATCTTTGGTTGTTTTTTTTTCGTTGTTGCTGTTGTTGTTGTTTTTTAATTTGTTCGAACGAATTTTTTTTATATGTCTTTTTTTAGTAGAGTTTTTTTTCGCTGTCTGTTTCATTATTTCGTTGTTGTTGAGAATGTGAATGTATTTTTACAGCTGTCTCGTTGCACTAAAAGCCTCCGTACGTCGGTTAAGAACACAAATTGATTTGATGCGATCACTTTTTTATTGCTATCGTCAGAGTGGCACATGCCAATACACACACTGAGGGTGACAATGCAGAAATGAAAAAATAAAAATAAAATAACGAACTATCGAAGCGGAGACGAACGAAGAGACAGGGACAGACGAAAATTGAACGAGACAAAAACGCCGATCGTCTCATTGAGCAGATAAATTTGTGTTTTATTTTATTATTCGTTGAAAATTTGGCCTTTCGAAATTATTTCTTGAATTGAACGGGCGCGCGAAGTGTTTTGTGGTAGTTTTGCATCATTTGCCGTTGTGGTCAGCTGAGAAAAATGAGCGTGAATTGTTCAACAAGCAGACTATTATAGCAACGAAATGATTTAGAATCGATGTGTGTGTGTGTATGTGTGTGTGTGTGTGTGTGTCTGTGTTTGCAAGTCACAAAGGGTATACGACATTGGTTTCAGTGCTTTGTTTACTTAGTGCGAGTGTTTGCTGATGTTAAAAATGGTGAAAAAGAAAAAAAATCACCCAATCGAATGATTTAATAGTTTGAACCACACCGAGAGTAAAGGAATTGAGTGGAAGTCATAAAACAAAACCGAAATCAAAATCCGAAATTAAAACAGACTTTGCGTGTGGGTCATTGTGCTTTTAGCGACTTTGAGGTACACCAAAGTGTTACGTGCTTAAAATTTATAAAACGAGAGAGAAAAAAAAACACAAACCAACCGATCCATTGTCATTAATTTATGAACCAGAAGAATTAAAGGCCATCAAACAATAAACATCTTATTACCGTGTTGTTTTAATTTTTTTTTCTTTTGTTTCTATTCTCTTCTCTCGTGTTCGCAGAGTCAAAAACCGAATGTACAACGGAATGCTATCGCGGAAATAAGACACAAAATGACTTTGCTATATAAAATAATTGGGTTCTGCACATTGTTCCTGCTAATCAATAATTTGTGCATGGGCAAAATCGAATCACGGCTACGCGTTGGCAAAACAATTAACGTTTTCGTTCGATATGGATATTTGGGCATTTCAATGAAAGTGATCAGTTATAATGACACAGAACGATGGCTATTCAAAGAACCCACATACAATGTGTTCCGAGTAAGTTCTTGATCATTTTATTTTTTTTTTATTTCGTTGTTATTTTGAAATAATTTCCGTTTGATTGATGATTTGCGGACAATAAATTTAATTATACAGTATCTTTGGGCATTTCAAATTATTGAATTGAATGATAGTTTGAAATTCTTGTGTATATTCATTGAAGGTAAAACTTTTTACCAAGTTTCCCACCCAAAAAAGTGATTTTTTGAGGTACCTCTCGAACAAAAAATGATAATTTCATAACAAAATCCGTAAAAATCGTCACTTTTGTTCGACAAGTACCTTAAAAAAATCACTTTTTGGAGTTTTTGTCTGAGAAGACTGCCCATATTTTTGAGAAAAAATAACTTGTGTCGAATTCACTTGTCGCAAAGCAAGAATCAAATCAGTCGATTCGTCAAAATTTCGAACAAAATCTATTTTGTTTCAATTTCTCATTTCCCTATTTTTATTCTCGGCATTTACATCTAGGGTATCGATCAATTGGTCGAAGCAACGGAAGAGAACCAACCGGGCACATTTCATGGTGATTTTCACATGGAATTCTGTGACAATAAAAAGCAGCTATTTCAAGCATACTTTCGCGATTTCACCATTGAACGTCTTGAATACCCTTGGCAGGCTTTCACAGGTGGCTGGTATGTTGATTGTAATAAGAAATGATAGAAAACGGGTTGAACATATCCAAAGGGAATCGAAATTTGGAACGGAGAATTTGAGCAAATGTCGAGGTTTCTACTGAGAATTCTTTCTCTTTCCTTCTTAGAATGAAATCCCTTAAAGAAGACTGTGACTGTGTAGACTAATGGTACGATTTAAATACGTAGAGTCTACAGCTGTCAGTACTGAGTCACGTCCTTCCTTAAATCTACGGAAATTGCTGATGTTGAAAGTGCAAATTGCATGTCGTTGAACTAGTCTATGGATCTTTGAATCGAAAACAACAAAATCGTCGCATTAAAATGCTACAAAATTGACATAAAATTTGTGATAAATTTATGCATGTATTCTTATCATTTGCTTGTTGTTTTTATTTTCTTGGATATGTTCTACCGTAGATTTTTTTCCTCCCTGCTCTTTGATTAATCTATATTTCCTTGTTTGTGTCTGGATATGTTTACATAACAGGCAACCTGAAGTGGCCGCACGTAAATTGGGTATAAATTCGTCATTCATCAAAGGTGACTATTGCTATGTGTTGGTACGTGTGTCACGTTTTCGTGAAACGGCTCGCCTGGCGAAGCCAATACCGCCGAATCAAATGTTGCACGAAGACGTGTCCGAGAGAATACAGAACATGACGCCCGGCAATTCAACGGAAACGATACAATTTATGGCCAGTTTTGGAACACATTACATCAATTCATACGTTACGGGTAATTCTTTATACCAGGTACGGATATCTAATATCTCGCTATTCTTTTTATGTTGCCTGTTGTTGTTGTTGTGGTGGTTTTTTGTTATATTTCCCCTTGAATGAAAATTAAAACAGCAACAACAACAACAGCAACAACAAAAACGCTATCATAAAAAAAAACTAAAGAAGAACAAAACAAAAAGTAGCTTCAACACTCCGTTTTATTCCGTTTCGGTAGGTTTTTGTCTATTCAAAGCAAAATTACCAACATATCAAAGATCGTTTGAAAACGCGCGGTGTTGCAGCGTTATCGAGACTCGATTTGTACAATTACTTTGCACCGTGGTATGCAGAGCATTTAGGGCAAATTCGTGCGGCCAGCGGTAATGGTACGGTCGAAGCATGGGCACATCGAAAGCTACGACTATCATACTACATCTTCACTTACGTAAGCCTGCTCAAGTTACACGGCAATGGCAATCTACTGCGCCAATTAGACAATCTATTAGGCAATGAGGCGATCTTGTCTTTGGATCTAAAGGCATTGACAACGCTATTCAAAGAACCGAAAAAACGCGAATGGTTTCAAGAAATCATTGACAACTACTTGAAATTGTGGGAAATTAACATGTGGTAATTTGGATAGAGAGAAAATTGAATTGTTTTCATTCTTAGTTTGTTTGTTTGTTTTGTGCGCGTAGATGATCGATCGCAAAGCCGACGCTTCTGCAGAATACGATCGAATAATTTAGACCAATTGATGAGAATAGAATTTTAGAATTTAATTAGATTTATCTTAATGCGCACCAATATTCAATTTGTAACTCGAACGTGTCAAAATAATCAGTCAAATTATTAAGCAGAAGAAAATAGAAGAAGAGGAAAAACAAATGACTCTTTTTTGCAAGAGAAAAGGAAATGTGAACGAAGATCAAAGACCACGAACGAAACAAAACAAAAAAACACTCTATAATTTATTGCAAATGTGATTCTGAATTGAGTATTTATAATATATATGTATGTACATGTACTCTAGTACGATTTCGTTAAAAATCGTGTTCAGAGTGTATCCTAATTGATGTATTATTGACATCAGTAGTAGAGAAATAGTTTAAGGCATTTCAGAGTGTCTTTCTGTGTAAGTGTGTTAGTGAGTGAGTTTTTTTTAACACGGCGTTCGTGTTTCGGTTCGATAAGAGTTGCAAATTCAATTAAAATCATTATCATGCACATCCTAAATAATTAATTCCAAGAATTTGCTACGTATTGTCATCACACTGCGGCGCCCGCAATGACAAACGACAATTAAATATGACATTTTGACATTCAACACTGTTTTCCGCGACACAAAATAATGATTTCATCAGAGAGAGAGAGAGAGAGATAGAGAGAGAGAGAGATAGAGAGAGAGAGAGAGAGAGAGAGAGAGAGATAGAGAGAGAGAGAGAGAGAGATAGAGAGAGAGAGAGAGAGAGAGAGAGAACAACAACACGAATAGAAATAAAACTTCGATCACAACAACAAATTTGTATCACGTGTCATATTCCAGAATCGTATAATTTACACATGAAATAAGACTGAAATCCAACAATCACATAATGCAAAAAAAAAGAACGAATGAATCAAACGGAACCCAAGTCATTTAGCAAAAGAGGAAAAAGTCGTATGCAAATGGAATTAGACAAAAAGAAAATAATGTGGCTTTTGTAATACTGTGATAAAAAAAACACTAATTATAGACAAATAGTTTAATTATAAACTTTGGATTAGACATTCTACTTGTAAATTTTTGAAGCACCATCATGCGACATCAATTCTTTTTTTCCGGAGTGAACATTTCAATGATACAACATTGCAAAATTGATTAAATTTTTTTGTCCCTTCAAAATGACCATACCCAATCCGAATGAAAAAAGTAAACGTAAAACACTCGAAATGCAGCTTTTTGTGAAGTTCAATCAATGCAGTAACGAAATATTAAAAATTCCAATGAAATGTGAAAAATATGTTGTAGTTTTTTTTTTGGATATGTTATGGAACGTGGCAGAACGGGGAAACAACATCGTTTCACCCCAGAGAGGTTTAACATCGGATGTTATACGCTAATATGATTCAATGAGCCAGCTAACTTTCGCATGAGCGATCATATAAAGTTGGTAATGGCCAGATGGTGAATCTGGACTTAAAAATCTTTGAGCCTGGGTAAAAATGTCTGATTGTAATTATCGCAACAACAAAAATGGTTCAATGGACAAAAAAGAGGGTCCTTGGCATTTTTTGAATCAGATTCTTTGAAGAGAATTTGGAGGTGTAAGTAAATGGTAAGATTTCATCATTTCATTAACATTCATGCCAATTAAGGTATGTGACTTACCTTTGAAGTGACCTCAAACTTTTTTTTTCATTGGAGTCACTTTCGGTACACCTACCTACCGCTATCTATCCGCTGCCGCCTGGATGCAAAACTTCAGTTTCACTAGAAAAAATTTCCTCTTCGGCGCGTTCTAATAAAAAAAGGGGTAAAATAATAATGATAAAAACATCGTGACGCATGTTGTATTACAGATTTTTCACTTGTAATTTATTTGTGTTCAACATTTCCGGTTTAGCAGAATAAAATTCTAACTATAGTTTTTTTTAATACATTTCTTATTTGTCTTTGCTATATTTTTATTAATTTAATTATTTTTTTTCTTGTTTTCATTTATTAAATTTCGGTCAAAGAAGAATATTTGTGGCCAACATATGTTGTGTCTTAGCTAATAATATGTCAGGTAATAAAGTAAGTGTGTTTGTTTATTTTTTCAAACAAACAAAAAATTTAAAATGAAAATAATTCAAAATTAGATTTTCAATACATTCGATTTGTGAATGGCATGAATGGCAAGCGCATACATAAAAAACGGTTAAATTTTATTTTATTCATTTTTTTTTTAAATAATTCTTCTAAAGCACTGCACCGCCACCACTCACGCCATCCCCAATCATATATGCATATGGTGGGGAATGCACTCAAAATCTAATTTCAATTCACTCGTCCAATTGAGCGTTCAATTGCTCGACATACCATCGAAAGAAAAAAATTGACCGCTTTTATTTATTTTGGATTTTTTTTAGTGTGTGGGTGTGTTTTTTTGGGGGGAGGGGGGGTATATTTTGTTTTTTTTTTCGTGGTAATGTGATTTCAATCTATATGTGTCTTGAATTTGCTTAGTTAATCACACTAGATGATGAAAATCAGACATATTTCAATTGAGTAAATGTGTGTTTGTGTGTTCGTTTGTTGTGGATTTCTTTTTTGCCGAACTTGTGTCAATATAATTTGAATAAATTGATTATCTCACCGTGTGCTGCACACTCCATTCGATTTGCAAACCTTAAATTCTGCTTTGAAATAATATCAGTTACGCAATCGAACGAACGAACGTGATCGAGTTTATTTCGGGTTTTTTTTCTCAATTCAATCGATATCATTGAGTTTTAAAGCTGGTCAACTGGACTATCTCAATCGCAACGAACGTGTACACTCTTCCCGATAGAATCCTGAACATCTTCATGTGTTCATATACAACAAGAGTTTCAGACTTTATCACGAGATTATACATCTAAGTTGAATCTATCTAGGTGGTTGTCAATCTGCTTTGAAACCCGTTGACACACTTGTCATTGCTAATTGTAATTAGCGAAAAATCGTCGACCATAGGAAACTACCTCACAAGGCTGTTGAATTAAATGTGTTTGAGTGAAAATGAAAAACGAAGTGAATCCAAACTTGCTTTTAAAAACCAGGATTTTTCGTTTACTCATTTCGTATGTCTGACCCAAAAAAAGAAGAGTTATCAAGAGTTAGTTTATATAATTGCAAGACCATAAATTGAAATGTGCCTCTTCATATTTTTTTGTTGTTGTTGTTGTGGTTGTTGTTGTTTCGGTATGAATGGTACCTAAAATCTAAAAAATCTTCCTTTGTGTTCATATTTGTTTTATCTCCTTCATCATCATCATTATCAGTGTTCTTATCTTTTCATAATTTCTGCTTGTCGCTCTTCCCTTCGTTTTAAAATAAAATTTGATTAAATTTAAAAAAAAATATCACTTGGAAAACAACATCACAACAAAAACAAACTCAAAAAGATGTGATTCGGTTTTGAAAAACGAACAAAAATTTGTACTTCTTATATATTTTCATCTTTTTCTTCTTCGTGATTTTTTTCTTGTTTCTCATTAAATTAGTTTTGTATGCTAACGAAAGACTTTGTGTGACAACAACATTTGGCAAATAGATACGTAAAACGTTTACAAAATTAAACGTCGGCTTTTCATTTTTATTTTTTCACTATTTTTTTTCTTTACTGCACTTGTGCCAATACGCTACGCGAGTTTCATTTTCAAAACAATATATGCAACGGTTGAATCATTTTTTTTTTCTTCCCTCTTCTTTTTAATGGTGGTCTCCGTTTTTTATCAATATATAAAACAATTATTGTATTGCATGAGCTAAAAAAAATTTTCTTCCAAATTAAATTGAATTTGATACTATTTAGTCCTGATAACATGTGAAATATTTTGATGGTTTGTTTGCTTTCTCCTTGTATATATTGATTGATTTACGTGGTTCAATTCTATCATACTGATTGACATTAGGTAATATTTAGTTTATATTTAGAGGGTATCACTAAAAAAAATTGTTTTACAATTGAAGCAATAAGTTCTTTTCACGAAACAGTAGAAAAAAAAGAGAACGCAATAACATAATTGGAAGCCGCTGACGCTTCACCTTTCATTTTGTTTTTTTAATCTGAAAGAAATTTGTTTTTCTCTTGGATTGGTCTCGCTGCTTTGATTTTTGACTCGTTTCATGAACAACTTTCGACACCCTGCCTATCAGTCGTATATATAATCGTATATATATTCGGAGGAAATACATTTCATTGCATTGTGTGAAGACTATTTGCATTTTTTTAGAGTTAAAATATTACATTGGAATTGTTATATCATCAATAACTGAATACCTGAATTGGATGTGTGGTCTTTCCATAAAGAAGACATTCGGAAGTTGATTGGGATTGTTTTTTTTCACGTTTCGTATGAAAAGTCAAACTATGTTTTGCAATGTTGTTTCTTTTTTCACTTCGTCGGTTAGAAATATTTTTTCGTTTCGTGTATGGTTAACAGGTTTTACGGTAATATAATGATTTTATTATGAAAGACACAAAAAAAATATGGAAACGTATTATTGGCTTCAACAAAATTTACAGCTGAACATACTGTTTGTCTGTGGAGATTTGGTTAATCGTTTTTTTTGCATCTTTTACTAAATGATCCATTTTTAAATCTCTTTGAAAAAAAAGGAACATCAACAAAGGTACTAACCGTTCAGTTTTCTTTCTTGGTACACTGATTATGGGTTTAAGTTTTCAACGTTTTACAAAGGTTTTATTTTGTTTAAATACTTTTTTTTTTACTTTTTGAATAACCTATTTGCCGAATGCGATTTTTTTGAGGAAAAAAATTGTTTCAATTGTCCAATTTTATATATCAAATATGTTTTTTTTTGACCTACGAATTTTAACTAAAAATTGCGGGGAAGAAAGCACTCATTTCATGTACAAAATGCATTCCTGCGATTTAACAGTTTGTTTTTCTTCATCTTCTTCTCCTTTTTTTTCATCGGAGATGATTACCGATTCTAACAATTTTGACGCATATGGACTTGTTGGTCTACATACTTTTACGCACACATATATACCATGCGGCGGTGCCATTCGATCGAATTGAATCTGAAAATGATTCGTTAGTTACTTTAAATAACTTACTTTCGATCAGCGGTTAATTAAAATGCAGACAGTTCCATTTGGGTTTCCAATATTGCAACACAAGCTAGCAATAATCGTGAAGGAACGATTAAACAATTTTGATTCCTGTGCGGTTCGGTTTTAAATCGGAACAATTTTAATTTGCTCAATTTTGTTCGCAATTTTATTTCTCATTTTTAAGAAAGAAAATTGTTCATTTGGTTCCAAAGAAAAGCCATTTTCGAGAAAATTAATGCCTTTTTGAGAAGAATTAACATTTTCTTCAAGAACAGACCATTTTCTGAAAGGAAAATGCCACTTCCATTGAAAAACATTGCACATTTTAATCATTCAATGCCCATTTTGTCAAAAACGCAAATCTTAAGTGGAAAAAAATGCACGTTTCCTCATGAAAAATGTCAAATGACTGCATCTGAACTGGTTTTGCATCATTTTTGTTTAATCGTCCCTTGATGATTGTTCCTGGCATCGTCATAGTCGTCCGGGCTAAGAGAAACAAAATTTCCGCCCGCTGTTTCGAAACGAACATACTCTTGTCATAGGTTATTCTAGAAAATTATTCATACTTAGTTCTTACTCAACGTGTTAGACTAATAAAGCAGAGGTCGCTTAATGAATATATAAAATTCTTTTTTTTTTCATTTCATTATTTTTTTATACAGAAAAAACAACCTCTTTTAACATTTGTTGGCTATTGTTTTAATATTTTTCCTTTTTTTTATATTCATTGTTTTAATGTTTTAATTTCTTCTTTTTCTCTCTCATTTTATGTTTTCTCTAATTCGTTATATTATTTATTTATTTAATTTTTCTTGTTACGAAAAATGCTCCGTGAAGATAATCTGTTTCACTTATCAGAACAATTAAAAACAATCTACTCGAACTATGTTTTGTCATCCTGTGTGTGTTGTTGATGTTGTTGTTGTTGTTTATTAATTTATACATTCATAACCGTTTTTAAGTTAATATTAAGTACCAATAATTTGGTTTCAAAAAAATGCATTCGATATCATTTAATCATGAGTCATATCAGGTCAGTTCGTTGCTTTTTCAAGTTACAGTAGCACGTGTCGTTACGCATCATTTGTTCCGATAGTTTAATTACACAATTTTTTTTTCTTCTTCTTCTTCTATTAAAATGTGGTTTTTATGTCCAATTTAGTCAATTTTGGTTTCTCATTTATTTTTTATTTTTCAAATCGATAATATTCATATATAATAACCAATTGTCGAAATTCGATAAATCAATTTGTTTGTTTTTTTTTGCATTATTTGCTTGCTTCAATTTAAATTTAATTAGTTGTTGCTGTTCAAATTTTATATATTTTGAATATTTTTGCTTTTAAACTCGAATAATTTTTTTTTAGTCTCTTTGTGTGTGTTTGGGTTTTGGGTATGTGTGTATTTTGAAATTGTACACCTATTCATTCTATATATGTATGGTTTGTTTTGGTTCAGCCAAATTGTTTTATTTGCCCTCATTTCATATCGTAATTTGACTCGTTTATATCACAATATTCGCAATCGCACTCATCCATGCATTCATCGCATGATTCAGCTAATTCAAGTTCTTCATCTTGTCAGTAGAGCCATGAAACCGGTATCCATTGTGGTGTTGAATGCACTTTTTCAATGGCTGATTCGAGTGCGGAAATCGTTTCACCGATGTCATTATTCACAATGGTTAAATCAAAGAAATGACCGTATGCTTGTTTCAACATATCTGATTCTTTAGCTAATCGCTCGAGACTTCCGTCATACTGCAACACAAATACCGAACCCAAATAAAAAAAGAAACGAAAGAAAGAATGGAAATCGATTAGTAAGACCGAGAGTAAGGCGTCAAATGAGTGTATGTATGTAAGAAAAAAAATATGGGAAAATGCAGAAAATGAATTAGGCATTGGAAAGAGAAAAAAAAAACGAATCGAAAAAGAAAAATTGTGTTGGCCGTTTGCAATGAAAAAAAAGAGAGAAGTGAATACGTCTGTAAGCCAACGGCAAAATGCAATGCCGAAAAATGCTTTGTGTTTTAAAGATTGGTTTGCTCTGCTGCAAATACTCACATCAGCAATGTTGTTCAATGAAGGCGCTGCAATAAACACGACATAAGGTGTGAATTCGGATGTGCGCAGAATTTTCAGTGCCTGCGGTTCAACATCCAATATGGCCATTTTTCCCTCGTTGTGAATGCGGCGTATTGTATCCAATTTCGTGCCATACATTGCATCTTCGTGAGTGCCTGCAAAAAAAAAATACAACAACACCCATATAAAAAAAAATCCATTGTTGAAATGATGTTGAGTCTTGTGCCATATAATTTGTTGCTTTTTTCTTTTCTTTCGTCTTGATTCCGTTTTTTTTTTCATTTCGAAAATAAATACAGAAATAAATAACACGACATACCGTATTCCAAATATTCATTAGCCGCAATGTCAGCCATCATTTCGTCATGAGATACAAAATAATAGCTTCTTCCGTTCTCTTCGTCCTGACGAGGGGCACGAGTCGTGTCTATACGTAAATGTAAATAAATAAAACACCACAATAATCAAATTGGTTGAAATTAGTGCGAAAAGTTTTTTTTTATTCTGTGTCGAATTGAATTGTTCGAGACACAGAGAGCGAGAGATGGAGTAGAAGGGATTGATGCATACGTGGAATTGGATAAGCATATTTGTCCGGATACTTTGCAATCAGAGTATTCTTGATATGACGTCGCCCGACACCATGCGCTCCAAGTAAGACAAGGGTCTTTCGTTGAAATGCCGGATCACCAACTGCAACAACACGAACAGAAGTGGAAATGAAAAAGGAAAAAGAGAAGAAAACAAAACGTAAACAAACCGATTTTCATTTTGAGATTTGTTTGTAATCAGGTTTTACACGCAACGACCCTCTTCTCTGTCTCTTGATTTCGCTCGGAGCACAACCACACATACACGTGTGCCACATTTGATTTACTCCAAAATTGAAGAGACCAAGAGAAAGAGAGTGGAGCGAAACGATGGACAATTCATTAATGTTTTATTTGACCAGTTGTACAACAATAATAATACTTACGTGGAACTTTTACCACTTCCTCATACGTAACCAGATCAAGTTGATCGAATACTGCATTATGTTTGGCTAAATATTTATCTCGGGCTTGTTTCTTCTTCCGACCGAAAATTGAGCAGTTGACTGTAAAGCATGAAAATCAAGCATTAGAATCACATATACATCCAACACAGAGAGAGAAAGTGAAAGAGAAAGAGGAACAGACACCGAACGGGGGGTGTTTGTGTGTACGTGTGGTAAAAACTGTGTAACGCATTCACAAATCGGAATGCAATACGCAATTCAGTATTTTCAGTACAAAACTCAATTTATTTAAACCCAACATGGTTTTATTTGACTTTTTAATTACGAAATTTCCACTTCAAAAACTATGCTCAACTCCGGCTGTTTCATTCATTTTACACGCATAACAAAACTAATCGTTTTACATGACTAAATAGTTAAATGTAATTCCAAGAAAATCGACTTTTCTTAGTTTTTGCTAACAAATTTGAATAATCGCTCTTCAGACAGAGAACCTCTTTTTCAGATGGATTTCTATGTATTTTCAAGCTCTTGCATTGTTGTTCATCGAAAAATTTGGATTTTCTTCTTTAGAAAACTTAATTTTGTCATTTTGTCATTGGTTCAATTTAGAAATTTGTTTCATTTTGCTGTGCCAATCATAGACCTTAATTCGACTCAATACGACTTAATCTGAGTGGCGATTTTCCTAGAATATTTATCGGGGTAGAGGGATGTATACTAGGCTACCATATACTGACTAAATCAAATTCAATCATTAGGAGTACGGTTTTATTCAACATGGAAAAGAATGGTTGTAAATGTGAAATAGAAAACGAAAAATAAACATAAGGAGACACCGAATCGCTCGATTAAGTGCCGTATGTTCAGTATGTACACTGTACAGTAAGTACTTGGTTCCCACATCAAAATAGATTGATGTTTTGTGATTTTATGTGTATATCTACAATGGATGAGTGCGGGAAGTAGTTTTAAGCCAAAAAATGAGATGTCGCATCTTTTCATGCCGTGCACAATCGGATAATTCACAATGAGTTTCACCTCGCTTACGAATGGACAGATAGAGAGATAGAGATAGGGAGAGAGAAAAAAGAGTCGAAAAATCGATACATTTTCTCTCTTTGCGTACAATATTTGTTGAAATTATTTTGTGTTTTTATGCTGGCTGATGGTTCGAATTGAAATGTTTCGAGATCCCATTCTATGGCGTTGTCAAATAGTTGACAATGCTCTAGATGGTTGATAAATGCACATATACATGAATATACATTTAAAATGCATTTTTCCCGCGGAGGAAAATAAACCTATGTTAAATCTGTGGCTTTTGTTCAAATGTTGAATGATTGTAAATCTGATGAGCAACTGGAATAAATATTTTATCATCCGATAAAAAAAAAATTGTCTCAAAATTTAGAATCACCAGCGTTTTTACTTTCGCATTTATTGTCAATCTCGAATGTTTTAGCATAAAATTTAACATCTTTTTGCACTTTAAACGTTTGGTATAAAAATAAATCGTGTAACATTCCAAAGTCAAATGATCAATGTATGTGTGTGTGTTCAAGCGAAAGAATTTTTTAAATGAAAGGTTAAATCAATCAATTGTAATCAGTGTGTGTGTATTTTTGTAGTATGTGTATCTCAATGAAACAGCGGACTTGTCGTCACACGCGTAGATGTAGCATTTCGCTTGATTTAGCGATTCGTTAGTTGCCGAAACATCGTCTACAGTGCACTCGATATATCAC